TCAGACACTTTAACTCAGAGTTATGGCCCTTGATTAGTTATGCAGTATCCATATAGAAAAATATTTGTTTCCTCACTACTTCCCTGCTACTACTGGCTGGAATTCAACAAAACTTTATGGGATACTAAGAGGAGATATGCATATAGTGGCCTTGTTCCAGTCAGAAAATTAAATCAATTTTTGGCCCCATTAGTTATGTAGTTTCATACATCTTTAAATTTGGGATTTTCCAAAATTTTACTATTTAAAAACAAAGTTATTTGGCCCCCGTTATTTGGGCCCTGAATATTTATCAAAATTTTAAAGAAATTAAACTGTTTTGCCATGATTAATATATAAATAAAGCCTTATGTCTTTAGTTGTTGTGTTAATAATAACCAGTACTCGGCGGGGGATATAAATTCAACGAATTTGCTTGTTCACAATTGGAACAGATATAGTTTAATTCTGGAAAATCAGACTCCAGAGAGAGAGATAGGTGTTAAATTCTGCACACAAGAAATAAGCCTACACCTGCCTCAATTTATAATAAATCTTGAAAAATAATTATCAAAAAACCTCAGTGGACTCCCTGATAAAGTTTAAATATAGTATTAAAATGTACTCAATTTTGGGTCATTTTAAACAATAAAAATATTATTCTTGAAAAAAAAAAGGAATGAGCACATTATTTGAATGCAAGTTCTTTGTCCAGACCTTCATCAAATGGTATACAATTCTAGAAAAAAATTATTTTCCAGTCCTTTCATGTCAAAAAATCTCAGTGGAGTCCCATTAAGATCCTGTTATCTTGTTTGTGCAAGCCTTAGTGAAAAAATATTTACAATTCAGAAGAATTTCTGCACTCTATGTTTCTTATGTTTTTTTTCAATAAAATTCTACTTGCAGTGATTTATTCACTGTCATTTAGAACATAATAGCCGTTATTATTATATTTGATGAAGAATTAACTGTAATCCAGTATGCTTAAAGTCTAATATGCGATATCATGCCATCGGGGTGTAGTGTAATTATCTCCAATTCGTGATTTACGGGAACGTCTTGATGTTCAATAAGTCCTCTGTAGTAACTATTTAACTACTTTCCTGCTGTAATAAACGTTTATCCGTGAATTGTCTGTCTATTATGTTTGAACCCTTGTGTAATTTTTTTTCTATGGAAGAGAACATGTTTAACGGAACAAGTATTATATAAGTTGAAAAGTTGAATATTTTTTTTATAATAAGTAGATGATATTAAATGAGTGTAGTTTCAATACTGAATTTATTGAACGAGTTGTATAAGATTATATTATGCATGTCTCTGGTGAGCATAATATTATTTTATCTAAGAGTTTCAATAAATTCAGTATTGAAGCTTTACGAATATAATATTCTATTTATCACATAGCCAACATAAGAAATGTTTTACAGTGAAAATAATCCTTTTTTTTGTCACCTCTACCTGGGAGTGGTGGCAACAGGCAGAGATCATTTCTCCATCCTTCGTCTGTCTCAAAACTTGTCCGGACTACTCCTCAAAAACTACAGGTGCAATTTTGTCCAGTTTTTACAGGAATGATCAGTACCACGTTTAGTTGTGCATATTGTCTGCATTTTCCGGTTCAATGATTTTTGCCACCAGAGTTATGGCCCTTTAATGATTTTAATTTTTGAAGTTTTTCCGGACTACTCCTGTTATACTACTGATGCAATTTCAATGAAACTTCCCTGGATTTATCTGTAGCTTTAGTACTTGTGCATATTACAAGGGTTTTCCATTTGAATGATTTTTGGTTGAGTTATTGCCCTTGAATTAAAAGTGTGTTTTGCCCTGTAATGATTCTTTGTGTTTCCTGCTTCACAGTAGCTGCAATATTCAATTGGCTATCATGAGGCGACACATGGGATCACTGATCGCTCTTGTTGTTATTGACATGCATTACGCTTACATTTAGTGCTATGTGTGTGTTAAACAAATATGTCATGTTAGAATATATGCAAAGCCAAAACTAGTTACATGAAAAATGGAAAGCTTTTACAAACCAGAACTTTTGTGAAACTAATTTCTCAGAAAAAGCAAATGCAAACCAGAGCTACTGGTAAAATGAAAGAGTACAATTAAAAAGATAATTTTGCCCATTTGGTTCATCACGGTCATCCTAAAAAATAAAAAATATTTCTGTTTCTAGACTAAAATTTTGAAAACATTGTACATGTACATATATATATATAAGGATATTTTAGGGTTATTTGGTTACCACTGATCCAGGTTTCTTGTTAAGATTGTGTGCTAAATAAAGATAAGGCACACCGACCCTTGATAAAAATGAAAATTGCTCTTAGTGCATGTAATTTATAGGTGTTGGCTTTTGACTTTGCTGAGTCTATGTAATTCCTTGCTGCAAGTCTTGCTCAATTGATTCAGGAGACATTGGTATTTCTTAAATTTATTAAAACATTCCTGCATTTAGCCTTAGGCACTTAAGATTTTTGTCTTGCCATGACCGTAATAGGGTTTGTGTAACCTGACATTTCCTCAATGATTTTCACAAGTCAAAACTCTGATACTCATGTGAGAGCCTTGCACTCTACATGTTTGAAGTCTAACCTGACTGACCTCAGTTACATTGTTGTAATACTAAATCCCTCAAACCAGCAATAAACAGTTTCAAAGCAGGAATATTCCATTATACAATTTAAGCAGAGTAAAAGTAAAAAACCCCAAATGCTTAAAGCCTTGGAAGTGCTGGATTCTGCAAGTAAAACAAGAGCATCACATGTGATGTTAAATGTGTTAAGGGCAATGACTACCGATAACCAATTTATGAATAATTTATTAAGTTAAAAAGGGGGAATAACTCCAAAATATAGCTTTTAGAACAAGTTGAAAGGGGGAATAACTAAAAAAATATAGCTTTTAGAATAAGTTGAAAGGGGAATAATTCCAAAAATATATAGCTTTTAGAGTAATTCCCCCATCTTACAACTGAATATTGTTATGTAAGCAAGTATAATTTTGAGTTTGATGTTAATAACTACTAAATGTTTGAAAAATTGGCTACATTGAAGATTATGCAATTATAATAGGCTATAGCTTGACTTTTTCTTCAAAAACAGACAAGCTTTTATTACATGCTTTTCGGTGGTTTATAGAAATATATCAGTGATTTAAAACTGGTAATTTCACTGTTTGAAACAGCTGAAATTTCCACTTTGATTTAATTTTCCCGGTTTTTTAATTTTAAGGGCCCCCTTTCGTTGTTTTTAGTTTTAAAAAACCAGCGGGGCACAGTACTGGGGTACCAACTTAAAGACGTGACGTCGGGAAAGAAAGTCCGTTGTATTTTTTTGGCGCGCTTTTTTCATTCAGTTTTAGGTTTAAAGCTTTTTAAAACGTTTTTTTTTGCATATAATAAAAGAAAAAATTTTTTTAGTTTTGTGTAAAATTGGAAAAATTTTTTTACCTTTGAACACCAAAAATTTTTTATTTCACTCGTGGGGTAGCCCCTCGTGAAAAATACCCTTTTGGTGCTCACTCGGTGAAATATATTCTGATCTGACACTGAACTAAACAAAGATCCTCTATATAAAACAACTAGTGATGTTTGCTTCACTTGAAGAAAAATGAGTGCTGTTCCAACTTAGAAAACTTGTTCAAAATTTGTAATGCATTTCCAAAGGGTGGTAATTTTAAAAGTTTATTTATTCTCAGTTATGCCCTTCTTGGTTAACTTTTTTGTTAAGATACATTTCTCAAAATGTGTCAAAGATATTCACTTAAAACTTGGAATATTTGGTAACTGTCAAATTTCAGATACTTTTCTAAGGGATCCTAAAATACATCTCTGCTTATTTCCCTTTTGTGACATAGAATATTTGCCTTTTTCTCAAAAACTGTCAAAAGTATACACTTCGAACTTGAAATATTTGTTGACTATCAAGGGCAGGTAAGTCTGCTAAGCATATTTGCAGAATTATGCCCCCTTTTCTATGTTGCTATTATTTACTATCCAGCACTGGGAAAAGTGAAGTGCATTGTCTGTAGGCTCAAGGAACTTGTAAGTTCAGCAATTTATGATAATGACATCTCTTCTTCTATATAATTTATTCATAAAAAGATGATCTCCAAAAAATTGATACTAAAAATATCCAAAACAAACAATTTTTTTTATGTGAACCAGTAGTGTATTTAAGCATTGTAAACTTTAAGCAAACAATTAAATTGTTAAAAATTTGTAACCATACCTGTCTATTATTGTTGATTTACAAAGGACAGGAATTTTATCATATTGAGACAGGGTCTTGCATTTATATACATTATTTATTGATATATTACCCTCCCCTTAGATACATGCATTGTCTCCTAATTGCCCTGTATGAAATATTAAATTATTTGGTGCTACAATCTATATACACCATATTGGACAGTGTAAGACTTAGAGCATATACTAATGCTGCTAAACATCTGAAATAGGATGAAAACATAGGAATTAATAAGTTACGAGAGTGATATATTGTAAAACTTTCAAGATAAAAAAACTTATAAAAGATAACACTTGTTACTTCTTAGAGAATAAGTTTTTAATTAAATTCTTTGCTTAAAAGGAGATTTTGATTGATTTGTTTGTAGAAAGTAATCAAGTGTTAAATAAATTGATTACAATGCAGAAATTTGATACGGTGTGAAATACAGTACAATCGGACTGTGACAAATGTGGCTGTATTGTTCAAAAGAGATTTTTAACTTTCAACTTTTGTTGCTCACTTAACTGACTGATTTATTTTCATAGTGTAACAAACTTAGCCACTGTTTTTAAATAGTGACTGCAAAAATTAAAACCAGGCATTTTGCTTATTGAATTGAATAGAATATTATAGAAGAAGTAGTAGATTTTCAGTTTGGAAAAGTGTTGTAAAAAGAAATATAGTGGCGAAAAATTTAAAATAAGTGTTGAAATAAGGAGTATAATTTGGAGTATTGTGTTGGATAGAGGAAATCTGGTGTTGAAATATATATGTAAATATTGCATGCGTGAAAATGGATTATTTAAGTTCGGAGTCGAGCTTCTCGTCTGAGCCGTTACTGAGTCGTAGTAATTCAGTAGATAGCGAGCACATGTCCTCTAGTGGTTCAGATACCCAGGAATATGTTGTGTCCTTGATTCCATTCCTAGAAGATAAGGTAAAACTTAAATTATGTGATTAAACTTTTAAAAGTTATTGTCACTGGATTGGTGACATCAGTGATTTTTCACTTCATATAACGTTATAGGCATCTACCCAATCAAAATTTTTCTTTTCCCAAAAATTTTAACTTACTCAAACTTTTTTATAAACTAAATTTGCATTTTCAGCATTTCATAATTTTCCCTGAGACCTCTTCCCTGAGTTAAGTGAGAAAAATCACTGCAGTGTTCTGGATTTGTCCTACTTTTGATTTTGAACTCTCAATTTTTAGGAAAGGATGAAGCCATTATCATGGTCCACTTAGCAGTGTTGGCATTGATAAACCTTCTTGATAAACCTTTTGGTTAACCTGTATAGTTTAGCTTTCCTTTATGGTCACTTATGATAGTAATGAGGGCTTCCCCCCCCCCTTCTATAGCAGGGGCCCCAAAGTAGAATTCTTTAAAATGCAGTTTTCCCCAAAAATTTAATTTACATCAAGTTAATGCTCCCCTCTTTTGCAAAAATACTGTATAATTCCCCCCCCCCCCCCTCCAAAAAAAAAAAAAATAAGGGCGGGGTTGTGAAAAAAAGCCCTGCTGAAGCCTAGGTCACAAATAAGAAAATGCCGCCGGGCGGCGTCTGTTTCTCCAAAAAATCGCAATATCGGCCGGTGTCCGTCCGGCGGCAGTGACTATCGGACGGCAGCAGCTGAAAATTTTGCTCATCGGGCAGGCGCCTTCGAGTTTTAAGTAATACTTAAAAGCTAACGGCGGCCAGACGATAATTTTTGGGGTCACTGAGTATAAATATCATCGAGCGGACATCGATGAAGCGGATGATTTTTTTGATCGGGCGATTTTTTGTTCTACTAAAACAGTGTCCGATTTAAAAGGCGTCCGGGCGGACATTGGTCGGGCCCCGCCCGGTGCCTGAATAGAGACAAGTAGTCAAACGATTATCGCCCGGTACCTGGACGATTCATGTACAGGCACCGGGCGGTCATCGTTTTGTCATCCGGAGACCGGGCTGCTTGTGTTTGTTGTAATTTTAGCTTGAAGAAGTTGTAATTGCCTCAAAAATATATTTGTGAATTTCATTTGAATACTAATAAACATGAATTTTTTCTTCAATGTCCATGCGAATGTCTGATTGATTTTCGCCTTCTACGGCCTCGATACTGGTCGTTGGTGACTTGTTGTCAACAACACGGACCAACTCCTTGGCCTTCCCCTTGGCTTTTGCAGATGACTTCTTTGCTGGCATAATTACAACTAGCTGATTTATCTAGGATGTCATTAAATGTAAAGTCATTGTCGCCCGGCGCCCGCGCGGCAACCGTCCGATTCACTTTTAAATCGCACAGGCGCCGTACGGACATCAAAAAATCTGCCGATTTTATAAAAATCGTTTAATCAGACGGCGCCCGTTTTATATGTGACCTAGGCATGACTTCATATACTTACAATTAACAATCCAGGACTGAAGTAAGTTGAGCTGGCTGCTCATCGAAAATCACTTGTTTGAAATAGAGAATTGTGAACAAGTAAGATTGCAAAGACAACAAAAATATGCATGCTAAACCTCACGGTTTTGTTTTGCTTGCGTTATTCATTTATTATAGCAAGTTCCTGATGTTTCAAATTTGTTTTAACTGAAAGATTGTATGATGTTTATTAATTTATATGTGCTCTAATATTATCCCTGAATCTAAAATTTCTAAATATAACATATTCATAACTTATTCTTTACATATAAATATAAGGACATCCAAAGTTTGACAAAATAATATGCTTGCTAAGTAATATTGACAAAATCATGCTATGTCAACACCCTACTGACATAATTTAGTCATTGGATACAGTCAATATGAATATTTTATCATGTGTTGATGTCATTACCAATACCATTTTAGCATTCTATAATTATGAAAATGTCACAACAGTACAGATTCATATTTCCTGGACATGGCATTAGTACAGTCACATAACCAATGCAATACCACACAAGTAATGTCATAAATGCTATGAAATCTATTGTAATACATAACTTTACATCAATACTATCATGGTGGGTATTTATACCAGAAAAGCATCCCTTAACAGTATTTCCTTACAGTCACTGCAATACATGACTTACCAGTAATTAGTCCCCTACTGGTTTAACCAGAGGGGACTTTAGGTTTACCCTCTGTCTGTCTGTCCATCCGTCCGTCCGTCTGTCTGTCACTAAAAAGAACAATAGAGAGAACAATAGAGTAGCCACATAATTACTGTCGTGTGAGAACTTCCGTCAGTCCGTCCGTCCACAAAACTGGATCCCGCGATAACGCAAAAAGTACTGAAAATATTTTTATGGAACTTGATATATGGATAGATGGCAGTATGGAGATTATGCACGTCTTTTTCTTTTGTTCCTATGTAGAAAATTCTGGTTGCTATGGCAACAAATAGTCTGAAAATATGGCAAATTTAACACATAAACTGGATCCAGTGATAACTCAAAAAGTACTGAAAATATTTTTATGAAACTTGAAATATGGGTAGATGGCAGTCTGGAGATTATGCACATCTTTTTCTTTTCTTCCTAAGTTGAATATTCTGGTTGCTATGGCAACAAATAGTCTGAAAATATGGCAAATTAAACACATAAACTGGATCCAGTGATTACTCAAAAAGTACTGAAAATATTTTTATGAAACTTGAAATATGGGTAGATGGCAGTCTGGAGATTATGCACATCTTTTTCTTTTCTTCCTAAGTTGAAAATTCTGGTTGCTATGGCAACAAATAGCCTGAATTTCAAGATTTCTGATTTAAATTTTTTCAGCTTTTTCACCATAAGTTCTTTATTTCTTAAGGTGTTTACTTCAAACTTTAAATATAAGTTTCTGGTCATCAACCACATCATATGTGACAAGGTTTACAACTCTAGCACAAAAATCATCAGTATTACCTCCCTTGAACTTAGAATTTTTATGAAAAAAAATGTTGTCTTTTTTAAATAACTTCTTTATTATTTTTAAATAACTTTTTTATTTCCTAATGTATCTACTTCAAACTTCATATATATGTTTTTTTATTATCACTCAACATTTTTGAGAAGGTTAAATACTCTAGCAAGACTATTTCCAGAATTATGTCCCCCTTGAACTTAGATTTTTTTTCGAGAAATTGGTATTTTTTACTCCAACTTCTTCATTCCTTATAGGATTTACTTTAAAATCCCACATCGTAATAATATGACAAGGTTGTATAAACAAAATTTCCTTACTAGGCAAAGAAACTTAACACATTACTGTGATGTAGACAAACTTAGAACTCAAAAGATTTAAGTTCATTCATGTCATTCATTCACTGGTAAAATTGAATGGCCAATGGCCCATCAGAATGTTGCTGGGGTTCTTACCGGTAGGGGACTTATGGATTGCTTGCAATACTATGATAATTGCTTGTAATAATTATGTACTGTTGTCACATAACATAATATTATTATTTTAACAACACAAAATCTCTTCAATAAAAGTTTATTGATTCTAATAATTTGTAACATAATTATTAGCTGCTGGCATTTTTTTAGCATGTCTTTAGATATTTCCAAATGTGCGACTAAAAATTAAGCATAATGTAAAAGTTCCTTGGGTTATCAACAAACATTTCCAATTTTAGAGTCAGCCAAGTCCATTGTACAAATTAAGTGGGTGTTAATGTTAAAATAAGAGTAAATAAATATATAAATAATAAAATAAATAGTAAGTTTTTTTGCACTCGGGACTTAAATCATGTCACATAGTTACTTGACACACTACTCTGGCTTGTATTAATACAGTGATTAAGCCATCAGCTACGTGTCCGGACATTATATATTTTCTTTCATGATAGGATTAAAGAATCTTAAATAAAGTAATAATTGATTCTTGTTGATGTTAGAAAACTAGATTATAAGGTCATTCGGGGCATGCCTGTCATTATGTTCCTCTTAAACGTCCATTAATTTGAATATAAAATAACTGCTGCGGTGAAGTATAAACGGTGGTATAGATAAAGTTAATGTGTGCGTTTTTTTTCATAATTCATCAGCCAGAATGGACTATTGAAATACGTTTAGCCACGCTCGTGAAATTACGTTTTGATCGTTTTAATGCCATTCAATGCGGGGATTATATTACAAATGATTGATTTAAGTCGGAATCTTAAGTAGACTGTACGACAGCTTTTATACTTATATTAGGGTTAAAAATCTTGATATCTCTCTTTGTGGCAGAAAAATAGCCAGTGGTGCTGGACTTGTATAAAAATTGGATTATATTTGATTGAATTTTTTTTTAAATTTTATATAGTTTATGAAGGAAACAAAAATGGAATTTATCATGGGTCATTGAGAAGGCTTTATAAATTATTAAGTGTTTGTTGGTGTTAATTAAGTGTATTTATAAAGCCTCTGAGGATTTTAGTGTAATATTTTATGCATAAAGGTATAGTAATTTTGAAATTAATACAATATGAAGTTGTTTAGTATCGAAATACAGTGTAAAGCTATTGTAGTGATGGGGGTGATAAAATCTTGATGAAATTGGATGAATATTATTGCAGATTGTAGAATGGTCTCAAGGGATATTGAAATTTTATTGTGAGATACGGAGTTACAAAAAAAAGTTGTAAATATTTTATTATGTGGGATTTGTAAAGTTAGACTGTGTTATTTATTGGTATTAAAATTTTCTTTTCTTTTTTATGAAGTATTACTTCGGAATAGCGCGATGATACAGGTTGTGCATTGAAACTTGCTCAGTGGGGAAAAAGATTTTGTGGATTAAATATTTGTCCTTTTATGCAATTAGGCATAATGCTTCTGCTACTGACATTGAATTAAAAAGTGAAAAAGATGTGCATTGCAATTTATGAAAATTTTTGTACAATTACATTTTATGAAAATTTTTGTACAATTCATATTTTGAAATGAAATTTTTATAAAAAAATTTTTTTTTGGTTATTTTTTTGTATGTAAAAAACATAAAGAATATACTCTGACACATTCAATTATTTCTGGCATTTATTTTAGACCGTTTCTTTTTCTATTTTTAGAATTATTCGCCATTTCTGATGAGAAAATCGCCAACAAGCTTCACATCATATCGTTATCACACTGACGAGGAAGATTCCACCATGCATTTAGATTACCCGCCCACCAAGCCTTTTATCAACGATGACTACGAGAGACCTCCGTATAAGCCGGTCAGTTCTTATCCGGAAGGAAACCGAAAAGGTAAATTTTTTGTTTTCTTGTGACCATTTCAGGGATCTTGCTCACATTACATTAATTTTAAGAACATGTGTACAGTAGTGGTTTTTTCTCACTCAATTGGGAAGAGGCCTTAGCCTCTTGATTTTGGGAAAAATTATTGCTAAAATTGTATAAAATAATTTGGGAAGTAAAAGAGTTAAGATTTTCGGGAAGACTTTTAAATTTTATTTTATTTTTAGATTTTAAAGAAAATATTAGTTAAAAAGAGGCCTTTTATAGACCTCTGTTATATAAGCTGAAAAATCACTGGTATAACTTCAGCTGTTCTTACTAAATTGGGTTGACAAGATATGATCATCTCCCATAACCTGTCTTGTAAATTAAACAAGAAAAGCCTCACTAGCATAAACATATACTTATTAGATAATAACTGCAAAAATAATTTCAGCTTGTAGTTTTCATCGGTGAATAACATAAGTGAAATGAAAATAAGTTTTGTAAAATTAAAAAAGTATCACTGAAAGGCAAAATTACTGAAAAAAGTTGCAGTCAAAATTGATTCTCTACAATTGTTTTTTTTTGCGTGTGCTGTGAATCAGTCCATATGCATGTATACATGTACATACATATATGGTTTACTACTTACCGGGTAAATCATAAGAAAAATTTTACTGTATTCAACGCAACACCATTATATAACAGATTTGTGTTCTTACAGGTTTATTAAGTGTTTCACAATGCAACACAAATTATGTTATAAAAACATGCACTGAAGGAACATGGTTATGATGACTTCATTTTACAAAGATTTACAATTTTTACATTGCCATAGTTACAGTAATGTACCATGACAGAATTTTCGATATTTCATTTTAGCTGTGATAAGTGCCCTCAGGAATCTTCAAGGAAAAATACATCAGTTGGAGGTGGAACGTACCGCTGCCGAGGATAACCTCAAATCCCTCGCTTCCGAAACTAATAAATATAAAGATATCCTCGAGAGAGATAGTGAAACTAAAAAACCTGCTCAAACTACTGTCTCAAAGCATAATCAAGGTATGTTAAGTATGTTGTATTTAAGATTCCTTTGTAAATGCTCTGTATTTGCTTAGTATAATGTAATTTTGCCGTTTTGAGTGACATTGTAATTTCATATCGATGTAATGACATAAATTCCATGGAAAATGGTTTTATTGAGGTTAAGAATTTAAGATATGATGGAATATGGTAGAATATGCAAGAAAAAATATCTAACATATGTTTGCGGATCAGATCGGAATATCCGTATATGGGCAGGTCCCATTGGGATGGATATTTCAATCTGAACTGCAGCATATGACAGATATTATTAGTCTATTCAGGAAAATCATATAAAGGATGAAAATTACATATATTGTATAATGTATATGTATTTTTTTGCTACAATTATCATAAATACCATTATATCTGGTTGTTTGCAAGTATCAAGTGAACTATGCTATCACACTTAGTTAACTTTGTTTTGTAAAAGAATGTGAAACATTCATGACTTTATATAAAGAGCTCTGTTTCATTGATGAAATTGAGTTAGTTCTGGGTAAAAATGTAAAGACTGTAAAAGAATGGCATTAGAACAGAACCATGTACTATCTGTTGTAAATTTGTAATTGTAGAGTTAGAATCTCAGTTATCGGCAGCGGAGACCAGATGTAATTTATTGGAGAAACAATTGGAGTACATGAAAAACATGGTAGTGTCAAACACAGAGAGAGACCGGGTAGAGGCCTTCAGGAAGAGTCGAGAGCTTGAGACCTCGCCGGACCCCATGGAGGAGCATTCCTCCGGTTTTCAAAATAACCTCCGTAAAATAGCCGACCTTGAACGAGAGCATATTAAATTAACAGCCAACCAGTCATTGGCTGAGGTAAATATTTATGATATTTCACTGTAAATGTTGTAGAAAAAGTAGACATTTTTTTGGTTCGTCTTTTATTAATGTTCTCACAGCCATTGTCACTTGTAAATCATGATTTACCCCTAACTCTGATGAATTTGTGCACAACAGTTAAAACCCTGGTCAGACATTTTTATGATAAAATTTTGGTGTTTATTTAAGCACAGTTGTGTAAAAAAGGGAAATCCCAAAATAGCATTATAGCATTGTCACTTAGGGCTCAATTTAATGAAGCCAAAGAATCTTTTTAACAAAAAGATTTACAATGATATGAACACATAAGAAGTGTCCACTGCCTTGAGAATGTCAGTTAAGGAAATATTTACTTCAGTGAAGAGAACATTAGGAAAAGACGATCTATTGCCAATTACTGCTTTGCATTGAAGTGAGTAACGCACCTTGTTGTTATAAGATGTATGTTGTTATGAGATGCCATTTTTAGTTTCAAAACAATCTTGCATTGTTGCACATCTTGTAGGCATGTAAATTTGCATAAGCAATTATGTTAAAGATTGCATTGCAAGTTGAACAATTGTTGTATAAGAAAGCCACCCACATTTTATGACAGCTTGGCTGGTTGATGTACAGTGGACATGCTTTAAGCTTCTTGTTGTCATTGTATATTTGCTTGAATAAATAAGAAATAAGATAAATTTTATCATTACGCTGTCATAATTTTTTCCATAGCATGTTACAAAATAAGCTTAAAGATTACATGTTGACTTCACATAGAAATGTGTCTGTGTTGTTATTTGAAATTATTCACGAGTATATAGAGAAAAATATATACATGCCAATGCATAACCAAGTCTTAAAGATGTTGATCTTGTATGCTTATATCACAATTCATAGTTTAAATTTCAGAAAATTTCATTCATAAGGTCCCTAACCTAGGTGGTTTAAAATGCTGGCATAGAAATAATGAATTCTATTATATCATACAATGAACAAAAAATGTTGTATTTAAGTTCTTGATTTGTATGCATTTATAATTGAACCAACTGCCGTAAGAATTTAATAACATATTTTTGTATGCTTTTCATTTCCCCTGTCAAAAAATTTGCATGGTACTTTATCAATTCACTCAGAGCAGTCTCTTGTTGTAGTTCATCAGATTTTTGAAATATGATGTTTAAACAGGAATTTAGACCATAAAAGAGCGATATTGACTTAACGGTACACGTGTAAACATTTGAGATCGCTGTGTAAACAAACACGGCTATTGACACGATTGACTGTTTTGTTTACACAAGATTCAATGGTCAGTCTATAGAAGTAAACTGATAAATGCCTGATTACATAAACAGGTAACACAATAAAGGTATAAATACTTGAATGTAATAGAATATAAAATGATGTTTGTAAGGATATTTAGCATTAATTGATAATGCAGATTTTTACCTTGTAATTCTTCAAAATGTGTTGAAAGTAAATAGATGTTTACTGTAGGGATTAATGCCCCCTGTAGATAACGCAGCTCTCTATATTATTATTGATAATTTATTCATAAATTGGGGTGGCCAAGTTTAAATTTTATTGGATTTAAACGTGTCTTGTCAGGCAAGTTCCATAGAACTTGGATCAAAATACTTGACATGTTAATGTATAAGTTAAATTAACCAGAAGAAAAAGGAAATTTGTTTTATGTATTTAGCAATTTAATCTACCAGTATCTTTGCTCAAGTAGAAAATGATGTTTGACATGGCTCTTGGTGGATCTGGAAAATAATAAAATAGTGTACTTTCTGGTACAAGTTTTCAGACAAAATTGCCTGCAGTTCAGTTTTTAGCTCGACTTTTCTATGAAAAGGGGAGCTATCCTACTCGCCCCGGCGTCGGCGTCGGCGTTAGCGTTGGCGTCACACCTTGGTTAAGTTTTTCGTACCACCCCACTTTATTTCAGAAGTATTACAAGTATGGCTTTGAAACTTACCATACTTGTTCACCATCATAACCTCCATCTACAGACAAGAGTACATAACTCTGTCAAGGTTTTTGACAGAATTATGGCCCTTTTTTGACTTAGAAAGTGTATTGAGCTTGGTTAAGTTTTTTGTACCACCTCACTTTATTTCAAAACCATTGGAGGTATTGCTTTGAAACTGACCATACTTGTTTACCATCACGACCTTCATCAACAGACAAGAGGACATAACTCTGTCAAGGTTTTTGACAGAATTATGCCCCTTTTTGACTTAGAAAATACATTGAATATGGGTAAAATCCACTTATTGCCTTAACCCTTTGAGATATTGCTTTGAAACTTTTAATGCTATTTCACATCATTACCCCCATCTGTACACAAGAGAAGGTAACTCTGTCAAGGATTTGTTTTAAAAATTAAGGCCTTTTATCGACTTAGAATCTTGGTTAAGTTTTTAGTACCAGTCCACTTTTTGACTGAACTGTTTGAGATATTAATTTGAAAGTTGGAATACTTGTTTACCATCATGGTCCCAAAACATGGGCAGGAGAAGGTAATTCTGTTAAGGATTTTATTTGAATTATGGCCCTTTTTGACTTAGAAACTCAGTTAAGATTTTCATTCTTGTCCACTTGTTGACTTAACCATTTGAGATATTACTTTGGAAGTTGGAGTTCTTATGTGCCATCATGAGACCTATCTGTAAGCAAGAGAAGATAACTCTGTGAAAATGTTTCTTGATTTGTACTTAGAAATTCCTAGTTAAAGTCTTGTGTGCCCTTAACTGTCAAAGTTTTGTTTTATAGGCAAGCACTAAAAAAGTCGAGCGCGCTGTCCTTCTGACAGCTCTTGTTTACTTTCTAAGTACTACTGAAATCTAACTTATTCTGTGTAATATAATTGAAATAATGCTAAATTCAAGATTTTCAGGTTTTCTGATATATTTAACTTGCACCCATGACTGTGTTTTGTAGTAAACAATTGACCAATAGATTACATAAAAATCTTGCTAATACTTGTATAAAAGTTAAACAGATTATATGGCAGAATTTAAGACTTGTCCTGCACAGTGTGACATGATAATCTGTTAATCCCCATAACCAGATTAACCCTTAAAAATGTTGTTTCTTCTAATATGGTATATTGACATAAATTACCATGAATATAAGTAGAAATTTTATTTCTCTTTTTGGCTTAGTAGACAGAAAACAGTTATTGAAACAATGCATAATTAAGTCTTATAAAGTGAAAAACTGTGATGAATGTAATAATGTCACATTTTACACAAGTTGTTCCTTAAGTATTTTAATGAATATTTTGGATTGTGTATGATAAAATATAATGAAAAAAATATTGTAATCACAAATGAGTCCTTTCCAAAGATTATAAAAAAATCCAATTTTGAGCCCCTAAATCAAGCTGAAAATCGAGTTTTGGCCCATTTCCATTGTTACATGTATGTTGACCAAACCGGCTTGTGCACTGTACATGTACTTCAATGCAACATGCCTCCAGATGAATATGCAAATGTTCAAAAAAAGGCAGCTGAAGAAGAAATGTTAAGAAGTTGAATAATTTCAATTCATGTGATGATTTGCATGTTATATATACCAATAAACATATCATTATATATATTTAAATTACAGCCTTGACTTTTCTACTATTTTCTACCATTCTTCTAACAGACAAAGGGCTATTTTAATATTTTGGACACTATGTAAATTTTGTGAAATACATTTACAAGTGTGTTTGACTTCTTTAAGTCGCTTTATCTGTACACTCTAAAATATGTTTTCCCAACATAAATCAATTTTCATGAAAATTAACTCAAATAAGGAGTCATGCTGTTCTTGACCTTTTATGGTGAGATATATCTTTAGGAATTAAGCTAAGCCTTTGATACCTTTATCAAATTCAAAACTTCAAAGGAATAATTGATAAAAAAACAACAACAAAAAATGTCTTAAGGTCAATGTTTTTTCTTGAATATCACAAATTTTAATCGAGACAAAAACATGCATGTTAGATCAAAACATAATTACCGTGTGCTCGCACCTGTTTTTATTGTGGCTTGTTACTAATTATAGATACTGAATGATCACTAATCTCACGTTTTTTGTTTTCTTTTTGTGCACAGAGTAAAATTCGTGAGTTAGAGGAGAAACTTGGGGACGAACGGCACCATCGAAAACTCATTGTAGAAAAAGCTGCTGAGGTATATAATAATGTAATAATGGCTACAGCATTTTTGATAATCTTATATCCCCCCGCCCCCTATGACCCTCGCTTTGATATATGAACTATGTAATATTTTGCTTTAGTTATTGCTTAGCAATTTTTAGTCATATCTCTGATTGATATACTGTAATAGCATATAAGTTTTAGATAATATCTAAGAAAAAAATGGATCATTTAATGCAACACAAGTTAAATGAGATAAGATGAATAAAGAAGCTTGTTTTTTGATAAAAAAAATAACCAGGAATATTTCAAAAGTAAAAAAAATACAAGTGTTTTTAGAGTTAACAATTGGCCCTTAAAGTTATTAGGTTGGTTCAAAAAACGTTTCTTATTTATTTGTCACCGTTTGCTGTTGAATATATTTTAGCTTGCTTGTAAAGTAGCTGTAAAACTAAGTTTTATTTCATGAAGAACTAAATAGCATTAAATGTTGCATGATTTATTTGCATTACTTTTTCGGGATATAGTAAATTGATTGTGTTAGTTTGTTTAAGTCATTTGATATTTTCCTATTCAAATGAACATTTTTGTAAATTTGGTTCAGATGGTATGTTGTTTAAGAATATTTTATTCTTTTGCTATTTATATACCAGTACTTATAGACTTTGCTGGAGTAATGAATGCATACGTTTTCAAAATTAAACTTGGCAAATATTGAAATGTGTCAAAAATCATTGACATTGCAAAATGTTCTTGACTGGTTTACAGATTGAGTCAGTGCAAAAAGCCAACAGGATCCTCCAGGAGGCTGATGATGTGGTAGAATGTAAAACACAACAGAAAAGCAAGCGTCCAGTGAAAAAGAAGAAAAAGGTAGTGAGCAGGAAAACTGGACACAGTCACAAACCAGATCCTTCCAAACATTACAGATTAAACCTGGCAGACATTCCATTTGTTGCTGGAAAGGTAGGTGGATTATACTATTCTTATACATGTACAGCAAAGAAAAAACATCTGAACGATAAAAGTAGGAGATAAATATCAATTTTGAGTGTTTTGTTGTAGAATAATGCATGGTTTGAGTTAAATACACAGGAATATAATCATGAAAGGCTAATAGGCCTGAGTGATTAATTGCAAGCAATTTAACGATAAAAAGTGTATTGTTATACTATAATGCAAGGAAAATGATTAATATTTCCATTCTAACATGCTAATATAAAACAGAATGGATATAAAAATGATGAATTACATTGAGCGTAGAAATTTTTTCGTTCTGTTTATTGAGGTCATATCTGACATCATATTATGTGTTTTTATTTACATATATCATTTAATAATGCACTTGACCACCCTATCTGTTTTATAGGGAAATAGTGTGAAGCGTATTAGAATATGCAATATTTTGTTATACTAATTTAGTAAAGAAAAATAAAATTAAATATCTGGACATTAGTTAAAATGTCAACATTCTTTTCTTATCTCTTTTTCTCGGTCAATGTTTATCATGGAAATAGTAAGAAACTTAGAATTATAGAAATGCATTAATTTATTCATTACTTATTAAACTTAACATTTCAGAACACTGGTCCCAGTCATTCCGTAGGTGCCAATGTGCAGCGAGTATTTTCATTAATGAAGAATCACAACATGGCGCTATGTTCACATGCCTCGTACCCCGTGAGTACGTGCCAGCAGACGAGTCCATCATCATCAGGAACCACGACTCCGTCGACGGAGACCGATCTCGCTGAAATACTCCTACAGCTTCAAGACGAGTTCCATCAAATGAGTTTGTAAGTAAATCGTTCCAAAATTATGTATATTATAGTTTATTATATTATCTACATGTACATGTATTTTGCTATTTTAAATGAAATTATTTCATGTACAAATACAATTGGACGGACAGAAAAGCTGTATTGTATACCAAAGATGTTGTAATCTGTATACAGTGTATACCAAAAGAAAGCTATATATACAGAACTTTACTTACATCAAAGTATATAAGTGAATAGCAACTACTATATATTTGAATTGTCAACTCGGCATCCATGGCCGAGTGGTTAAGGTCTTTCACTTCAAAGAACTTGCTCCTCACTGCTGTGGGTGTGACTCCCGCAAGGCACTTTTTATACTTTCATGTGAGGGAACTATCTAACAGAACATCGGTGGTTCTACTCGGGTGCCAGTTTTTTTGCCTGAAAAAATGCACCGGGGGCAAATGAGGTTTTCCTGGATAGTCGCCAACTTTCATAATGTTGGTGCGACGTTACACCCAACCAAAAAAAAAATGTTCACTCAAATGTTTAACTTCAATTAGCATTGTATTATGATATATGGTAACAAATTAAAGTATACAATATGCAATAAAATGGTCCAATTATGTACAAAGAATATCTAAAGTACAAAGAATATCCTAAACAGAATTGTCCATCTTTTAGTCCGGACAAGACCAGTAATCAGTTTTGTAGGGAAGTTTCTAAACATGAACTTACTTAATTATAATAGCAAACAGTGCAGGCCATGACCCTTGCTGTCTGATCTAGATCTGCACTGGTTACATTGGTAAAATATGTATCTGCCAACATGTAAAGTGTTAATTTTGTAACAAAGAAATATAGTTGGTCATTTGTTTTGTTACAGTGAACATCAAGAATTTTCGAAGGAGATAAGTGAGGCGTCAGATCCACGTGTCCGGGAAGATTTAGAGAGGGAATTAGATGCTCTAGTAACTAGAATGGAAGCCAAAAGTTTACAAATCTCAAAAATTAGAAAACATCAAGAAAAGGTAGGTGCCACTCATCTATGTAAAAATAAGTATGAATAGCTCATCACTATGGTAATAAAAGTGTTGACGTCACAATCAAAAGTAAAAATAACTTAGATACATGAGGTCAATTAGCATGAAGAATATGCAATGGCCACTGTGGAGTAGTGGTTAGCATACTGGACCGGCAATCCAGAGACCCGTGGTTTGGCTGAGGAATGCTGAATTTCCTTGAGTTCTTTATCATTAAGAGTTCTTACTCATTGAATATGTAAGAGCCAGCATTTAAACTAGTGTTAATAGCTTGGCTGTCATAAGAATAGGAAGATCTATTGTACTCATGTTTGCATTGCCATCACACTTTGAATAAGTTGGTATAAGGGAATTTGTTGAGTTGAAACTTCACACACATCTTCTCTGTGATTATCTAACATGATGAGCACAGGTCCCATTACTCTGAATTACCCTTCTAGAGACTTAAGCCCCTTTTTTTACTGTCAAGTTTTACACTAGAATGGACTGCAGGTTTGCCTTCTATCTGTCTGTTTGTATGAATCGTACAATAGCATGAAAATTGCTTAAGTTGATGATACTTGTGATTGTACATAAATTTCAATTTGAAAATAATATATGAAAATTGATTGGATTTGCAGATAGCACATAAAAAGAAGAAAAAATCCAGGAAAATAGATAATGATGAATTTTCTACTCCAAGATCCAAATCTGCCCATGGAACATGTGTACGAGCCAGTCCCTCTCCACGATATAATGGAGAGGTGGAGGTCACAACAACGATAAAACCTCGAGGTTGTGGCACAGGCGTAGTACAGATAAGGCCAACTAGTGCACGAGAAATATCACTCAATGTTTTAAAGGACATGAAAAAATTGCAATCAACTCTTCGGAAAGATGACTTAAGTTGGAAATAGCCTAAAACACACATAATTATTTATAACAAATTGATGCCAAGTTTACAGTTTACTGTGTAAAGTTTTGTCAGCCTTTGGGAATGTTTGCAACTGTGAAGAAATTGTGAACATACCATTGCATTGTGCTATGTATGATCAGGGATGTTTTTTGACTGTTACCTTTTGTTGCAAACTGTGCTTTCAAGTTGCTAAGTAAGTAGTCTGTGATATTATGTGAAACAGAAGTACTGCTTTTTATAAATTTTAAATTTTAGGAAATACTTTCCTCTAAGATACCAGGAGAGTTAGGTTGAAAATTCAAAATGAAGTACTTATTTAAAAAGAAAGTAAGTCCTTGAAAAATATTTATCTTTTTTCCAATGGAATCGTTAAATCCCATGTATTCAATGAATAGTGTATAGTTTGCACTCCAGATTGAAGGCGAATTTCATTTCATAGTTTGAAATTCTTACAATTATTAATATAATTGATCTAAATGATTTTTTGAATTATCATTACAAACATTTCGTTACTTAGAATTTTGAGAAAGGCATTTATATTCTGATTAATAATTTTGATTGGCTTATGTGAAGGAGATTTCAATGTAAATGTGAATTGATATTATTTATTTCCATTAATTGTTGTGTCATCATATTGTAAAATTTGTCGGTATGTCTAAATCAAAACTTGCTTCTGAAAGAGTTCATTTTGAAAAGTTTCATTGATTATCATCAATTAAGGTGCAAGGCAGGTAACTCTAACTATAAATGAAAAGTTATTCTTTACTTGACTGTGCTTGTACATGAGAGAGAAACTAGTTAAGATATTAGATCAGAAGATTTTATTTTTTTTTCACAAAAAGAAAAGTGTCAAAAATTGTTATTTTCTTTTTTATCAAATTAATCTTTTAAGTATTAAAAACATATTTAAACATCATTATAGTAGTGTAGCTTTTGAAAATATATACAGATTTACAGAAGACCAGTTCAGCATTGCTTACATTGTCATTCCAAATTTCTTCCAAATATTCACATTAAAATGCCTAAGGTTCAGTATTGAAAGTGTATCAAGAGTCTAATGAAATAATTGGTCAAAAACTTTCTGAAATAAAGAAGGCAAGAAAAGAAGATTTAATCTTCAGTGTAAAATTAACACCATTTGATTTTAATAGACATAAAATACCTATATCAAATTGATAATTTTACTACACAGAATTAAAACACTTGTTAAATTGTGGAAACTTCACTTTGTTTGGATAAAAATGGTATAATTTCAGTAAACATTTAGTAGTCTCTGTAACTGGTGGTTAATATATTTTTTTTCAAATTTGAAAAATCTTATTATTCTATTTAAAGCATAATTATACTTTATCAATAAATCTTGTGATAAGTACCTCAGTAAATTACACTTCTTGCCATGACATGTACTAACAAATTTATGAAAAAGCTTTATGTTCCCTGTTTGTGACCAGTGGTTTTATTAACATCCCTGTGTAACAATTTATTTTTTGAAATTTGGACACCTCATGCCCCAAAAAACAATTTTACATTTTGTTAGAAAATATGAAAAAAAGATGTAAATTATAAGTAGAATTAGATAGATCTTACCCACAAGTAGCAAATATTTAAAATGCACATTTAAGTATGATGTATACTTTAGACAATGGCTATGGATAAATTTGACATGGGCACCATTGTCTATTGCATATCTGCAATATTTGTTCCTAAATCGTCTTTAATAATTACTGTCGATTTAATATTTTCTAATGTCAACATCATGCAGCACGCCTCCAGATTAATGCTCATTTTCATGAAATTATTAAAAATGAATTTTGAAAGTAGAATATTGTCAGATAAACAAAGGAAGTCATTTGAACATCGCAATCAGGACGTAAATCTACAAAAACTACCAAAAAATATCAGAATATGGAAAACTTTTCTTAAAATCTTTGTATATTTTTCTCTCAATTTTGATTTTTGCTCATCTGGAAGCATGCAGCTTGAACTTTCTCTGATACTTAAACAAAAGTCAGGAAAGTATAAGAGTAACACCAAGTCAACGCCTAATAGGTAAAAATAATTTATAATGTCTATTTGGATCATTAGAATGATCTTTTCTAATACTTATTAAAGTCATCACTTGTTTTTCCTGTTTTCAGTCCTGTCCTATATATTACCTTTTGTTGTAAATTTCCACTTTTGTTCTCTCTCTAGTATGGTGCATGTTTATAGCACTTGTCTGTGATATTTAGTTTAGCTAATACAATTGTTTTCATTGGCCATTATTTTACATGAGATCTTCATTTTGATTGGTTGATTCTCTGTGTGTGTGTGTTTTGTCTACATATATGTCTGTCATTATGTACATATTATATTTATGCACTAAAAAATCATGTAATAAAATGTTAATTGGAGACATAACATTTTGTTTGTGGATTTGTTTTTTTCTTCTTTCTATAAAGTATGGAGGTCTGAAATGGCCACAAGTCAGATTCTAATTATGATTTTAGGGGCTTTACTACTAATGTTCAGAAATTTTTAGTACTTTAGCAATCTTGTATTATCATTACAACAATATCCTGGTATGGTAACCTTCATGTAAACAAAACAAGCTGTCAAAAGGCAACACTCTTGTATACTCGAGTGCTTGATGATAAAACAAGAGCACAGATAATATAGGGAGTCACATAGAGAAAGATTTCACTCAAATACATTACAAAATTATCATAAATATATCATTCAAATACTTGACATAATTCTAGTTATAAGTACATAAAATTATGATTAAAGCTTCCAGTAGATTTGAAGACTGAACTTGGACACAAACTGGTAATCTGATAGTTTATAATGGTCATCAATTTGATCAAACTCAATTCCACACTAATAAGTCTTGGATAAAAAATGTTTGGGTGTGTAGGATAGCCTTGCTATTCTTCAAATAGGGAGCAAGCATTTAAAATGTTTGGAGCCTCGAAATTTACTGGTAGAGGATGATTGTGTAGTGTCCCTTTATGCCTGTGTGTAACGAAGGTGTGAATATGTTATAAATGCTGAAGAAGGGAAAAGGTGGCTTAATGGTTAAGGGGTCTGTCACGTAATCCAGGGATTGTGGGTAAGATCCTTGCAGAAATAACGACCATGATCGGGGTGGGGGCGGGACGGTATGTTACACCAACACAGTATAAGTCATATAGCAAATTTCCATCTTTTCTGGCTGAGGAATACCTAAGGTGCCCTTCTGTGCATCACTTCAGGCACAAATTGGCACCTGAATAGAACCACCAAAGTTCTGTAACGTAGCTGTAGCTGGATAGCTTCCTCACATGAAAGAATTCAAAATCTCTGCTGAAATTCGAACCCACCGCAGTGAGAGGCAAGTGGTTTGAAGTCGACGATCTTAACCACTCGGCCACGGACACCCCCTTGGAAACACATTAAATAAAGCAATATGACATATATGAAGATAACTCCCAACATTTGTTACAAATTTATTTCTTTTCAATAATGGTCAATTAATATTTACATTCTGTACAATAATTTCATGTACATGGACAAAGAATATGACAAAAATATATACCAATCTTCATAACAACATCCATGTGTTTCAATCTAATAATAGATAATCTATTTATAGAATAATTCATCCAATCATATTTCTCACCAGAAATAAATGTAAGGTTAAGGTTATAATTACAAAGGTCATCTGAATACAATTTGCATGATGAGATGAACTTACAGGTACACGAGTGCAGCCTATCTGATAACACACACAATCTAAATGGTCTAGGCAGAAAAAAAAAGAGAATGAAAAAATGTTTTGATAAACATAAATAATTATAATCTTTTGACAAATACTTTATCTCATTTTGCATTGTATTATACATTTCAAAAGTAAAAACTTGACCGGTTTTAGTGTAAACTGTATTAAAAACTACATGTATAACAGCAGCCAAATAGCAATGTAATTAGACCATCTGAATTGTAATTAATTACAGAGATAAGTTACAATGCCTGGTCAAGAATTATTGTCTTGAAATGGAGCTGTTATTCACCTAAACCTGCTGGAACTCAAAGCAATTAGCATTTGCCATCAGTATATTGCTCGGACAGACATAACGGATCAAGCTCTATACTGTTGGCAGCTCAATCTTTGTATTCTGATCCTGATATCCTTAAAACTTAAAATGGACTCTTCTAAATTCAAAGCAGGACAATTCAATTATACAAATTCAGCAGGTTTTGGGTTAATAAGGTTTTATTCAATTTCATCAAGAAATGAAATTTTTCAAAGGGAATATCATAAAGAAATATGCTCATTCAAATCCAACACAGGGACTATCCACATTTTTAATCAATAAAACGTGATATAAATATACTGAGATCACATTTTGTAACACAGAGTAATGTTGGGCCGAGTTTAAAATGACTGCATAAATAAAACACTTCATATAACATTAACCTTGGGCTCAAGTCCAACTTATTGTACTTCGAGTTGAGGTATTGCGCTTAAATTTATGTATAGGCAACATCTGCAGAAAACTGAGCAATAACAAAAATATCTCAGAATCTAGCTTTAACATGAATATTTTTGACTACCATTTGCTTTAGGCATGCAACCAGGCTCTTGACTATTGATAAGCTCAATTTTTGTATTTTGATATTGAAATCCCCTAAACTCTGAATGGACCTTTCCAAATTCAAAGCTGAGCAAATCCATTATATAAATTCAGCAGGTTAATGAGCAGATTTTTTTAGACATTCAAAATAAAGATAAATAAAAGCATGCATTTATAAATTAAAACAAGTACAACTAAAGGGTTACTCATATAAATAATTCAAACTTGATCAATAGTGAAATATAAATATAGACTAAACAAATGTGAACATGGACAATTACACGTATCTTGTATGCCATACTATTATCACAATGAACAATTTTTAACACACAACATGTTTTTGAGGTTAGAAATGTCAATAAATAGGGAAAAAAAACAACAAAAAATAACAACAATTTCTTTTTACCTTTTTGAGTTTAGGGATGTCAATAAATAGAAGGAAATAAAAAAAGAAAAAAAATCTTTTTAACTTTAAATATTAAGATAAAATGGCAATAAACGCAACTTTGTACTATCATTTACGAATTATAAAATATATAAAATATACCATATATATATATATATAATATTTTCTTGATAAGCCTTAAAGCAGTTTAAAATTTATGAAAGCTACCAAAAATAGATCATACTGACGAAAAAGCCCTTCCTGCAAAAGTCACATAGTAGAAATATGGTGATAAATACTGCAAAATCAGTCATTAGTTGCATACTATAAGAATCTTACACCGTCTGCCAGTACAGACCAGAATATCTAGCCCGAGGGTAACTGTTTATGGTGGTAACAAGGCTACTTGTACCCCTGACTTGTATCTAAATGGACTTGCATACATATCTAGTATCATTCAGTGAAATTCTGAATTCAAAATTTATTGACCGTCTTCCCTTGAGGACATATAATGGTGACATGTACGGGGTCCGTACTCTCAGTGCCTGAAAGGGCAAATGGACCCTCATTAAGCCTGGAATACATACATACATGACTTGTATATTCCAACAGAGTCAAGTATGTTTGTACGCGGCTGTGCAGCCTGACTAGGTTCTATACAATTAACTGTTCAATATATTTTAATTTTTCCATATTGAAATCCCTCTAACTATAAATGGACAGTTTCACAGTCAAAGTAGGTGGAGTCCATTACATAAATTTAGTGGGGATGGAAAAAAAATCTTGTCAATCAATAAGCAGAGTTCTTAAATATGATTTTTAACACTAGAAACCAAATATTTCAGAACTAGATGAAAAATATAGAAAATTTGTTGATAGCAACATAATAGCAAATTATTGAGGTCAATAGCATATCAATTATTTATATTAATATTTTGAAATATTCACTGCATAAGAAATACATGTTAATATATAATTGCACTGAAAAAAAATGCAACAAAAACAAAACAAAAATGCAACAAAAACATACACTAATATATTTATTTAACCATAATGCACCACACATGTTAGTTTTTTCTTTCTTTCATATACGTTTGCATAACTCAATAGCACTACTTCAACCTAAGAAAAATGACCACATCTAAGGAAAAGTCAAGCACAAAAGATTTTAGTATAAATGATAAATTATGTGGTTTCAAAATCTGATTATGATAATGAGAGGAAAAAATATACTTTACAAATAAATAATGAACTTCTTGAAACCTCAAAGGTAGCAATTCTAATCAACAAACCAAAAGATAGTTTGTTATCAAAATTTCAAAATAATTATTATCATATTAATAAAAGCATTGTCGTTTAACAGTACATAAATGATGTTTCTGTTGTCAAAAGTTATTTATTACATATTTACCGAAGACACATAATCAGTATTAAAACGAAACTCAGTCATTGGTCAATTTCAAATCATAACCATCCAATCAGATAACCAGTATTAAAATGAAACTCGGTCATTGGTCAATTTCAAATCATAACCATCCAATCAGATAGTAGAATTAGAGAACAATGAAACCTGCTTCAAAGATCTTAATTTGAATATTCCTGGACGGACATTAACTGTTGCACTTCTTGAAGCTTATATTCATGACATAATTAGCTTACATGAGCTCAGAAGATTATAAGCTGACAAGCAAATCAAATAAGTAAAGAAAGGTCTTTCATACAATGTTAATTTCTAAATGAATATATCCAAATATATCAATTTATACAAATACATGAGAATGATTTTTAAAATGGGATGTAAAATGATAATCACAACTTAAGTACATACATGTAGCCTTTTTTTATAAGCTTTCTGGCTTTTTAACAAAATTACCATACTATTAAAATGTGTATGAAACCAAACATGACTGACAGACACACAAATGTCTTTAATGAGGCTTCTTTTTTAATTTAAAAAAATTCTGCTTTAATGGTACATTGAAGTATTAATTCATTCACATAGACAGGATATTTCATCATTTTTATAGAAAAAAAATAATATTAAAATCAGTTACGATATATATTTTTCTCATAATATGACAGAATTCAATACAATTTTCAAATAAACATCAGTAAACTCCATAATACATCATATTGGCCTTGACCTTTAAGGTTAGCAAGTACAGTATGTTTCGAACCAAACTTTATTATGTGAATTGTACCATTAAACTTTTTATAAAATGAGTCAAAGGTCAATTAAAGTGTTAGCATATTTCTGGTGCAAATCACATCATACATTATGTGGCTATAAAGGTTTATAACTGAAATATTAACATAAAACATGATAAATATCTTCATTCTCATTGGCTAATTTGATCAGTTATTTTTGGTTTTAAGCAGTGTAATATCATGATTTATTACACACCCACATTTAACAAATATAAAATATCATGTAATGGTTTATGTTATATTATTTTACTTCATCTTTTTTATAATTTATAGAATATCTCTTTAACAAATAATTTATTTATAGAAAAATCTATTTATAGTAAACAGGCAAATATTATCAAGCGTGTAAAGCACAGCATAATTCTTAAACTATATTTCAATTCCATATTCTTCATCGTTCGAGAAATTTATACTTTACTTCTATCACAACAAATTTGAAATCTGATACATCAAGAAAAAGTATTAATAGAAATAAAAGTACATATTTGAAAAAAAATGAACATCAGCTACAGATGCCTTTAATTTCATGATCATTCCAAATAATCATTAACAAAAACTTAAAATTCTTACTATAAATTCAATAGCCAAGGCTAAATTCTAGCAGTTATGACTAAATTTAGATATTCAAAATATTACCGATTCAAATGCATACTATTGAGTACATATGAATATGCATTTGTAAACAAAATTTAAGACACTTCATAAATCAAAATCAGTATCTACTGCATTACAGTCTCATACCATAATTTGTCTCAGCTCAAGTCACTGGAGTACGGATAAACGAAAAATCCCCAATTCTAAAATTAAACTTGTCAAAATTAGAAACCTCCAATCTAAAAATAACTTGTCCCTCCGATCTAAAAATAACTTGTAACGGTAACATAACACTGTAAACGTGAAAACAGTTTGCTATGATGATGATGAACAACAACCGCCGCCTCCACCTTGATGTTGTCCAGCATCACTATCGTCCACGACAACAACACTTTTACGGCTGTTTTTACCAGGTCTTGTTACTGTATCTTGATCTGATTTCTCGATCATATCTAGAAATAGATGGGTTTATGGATTACATACCCTAATACATATGCTGTAACCTTGTTTCATCCTATTTAAAAATTATTGAACAAATATATTGTTTGTAACTATATAATTAAATACATCATTGGAACCCACGGTACACATTCCATATATACCACATCGTCAGACCCCACAGTACACATTCAGTATATACCACATCGTCGGAACCATAGTACACATTCCATATATACCACCACGTCGGAGCCCACAGTACACTTTCAGTATATACCACTTCATCAGAACCCAAAGTACACATTCAGTATATACCCAATCATCAGAACACACAGTACACATTCAGTAAAAACCACATCGTCGGAACCCACAGTACACATTCCGTATACACCACATTGTCAGACCCCATAGTACACATTCAGTATATACCACATCATCATAACTTACAGTACAAATTCCATATATACCACATCGTCAGACCCCATAGTACACATTCAGTATATACCACATCATCGGAACCACGGTACACATTCTGTGTATACCACAACGTTAGAACCCACAGTACACTTTCAGTATATACCACATGGTCGGAACTCCAAGTACACAATCTGCGTATACCACACTGTTGGAACCCACAGTTCACATTCAGTGTACACCACATCGTAGGAACCCACAGTACACATTCAATGTAAATATCACATTGTCGGAACCCACAGTACACATTCAGTGTATACCACATCATCGGAACCCACAGTACACATTCCATGTAAATTTCACATTTTAGGAACCCACAGTACACATTCCGTATATACTTCATTTAATATTCACCAGTACTGATATACAGTAACTAGCCTGGGTTACCAAGGAAGAAATAAATTATGTTTCTATCTTATAAACAAATAATGAGTCTATCTAAGTTTTAACTTAAGTAGTTTAAATGAATCCAGACTTGACATTGAACAAGTACACTTTTACCATTACTGATGAATTTATACTATATAACTTTATATTTCTACTCGGGTTAATGACTGACATTAATATGACCTCATTTTGTTGTTAAATCTCATACTTAAATGATAGATTAGTCAGTGAATTATCAACATATCAACATGCTAGTGTTAATGTTAATGTGATATTTTGGTAATTGCCTTTATAATTTACATTAAAGAAATATCAGACCCTTAAATAAATAAACAAATTCTTGAATAAATTAAACCCAAAGCACTAAGACATCATTAAATTTTGAAGGAAATAAAATTGGCTGAATATAATTAATACAGCACTTTAGAAATTTAATTCTTTAGACACATTTTTAAATCTATAAAGCCACTTTAGTCTATGACAGATTCTGGGAGATAAAACATTCTAGATTAGAAATACTTACTTTTTGCTAGATCTAAGAACATTTCCTCTATACCTTTGTTAAGTTTTGCTGATGTATGATAATGTTTAGCCCCAACTGAAGCTGCATACCTGAAATAATATAAACGTACCATTAAATGACTGTAAACTCTAAAACAACACTGTTAGTGTTAAGTTAGCATGTGTTCCTCTTAGCTATATTTCAAGGATGAAGAATAAAACCTAAGATCATCAGTAACACTGTAAGCTCGGAGGATAGCTCCTAAATATGCCTGAAGTGTGTGTGTTTAAGTTGTTTACCCTTACCACCAGGAAAAAACACCACATGGGCAAGTTCTAATATGATTGTATCCCATAAATATATGTAAGAGGGCCAAATGACATGCTGTCATCTTTGTGCAATAACAGGTTTACTCCTTACATAATTTAATAGATGTTAACCCGTTACCGCACTTAGGTGACAAGATGGACCTTTTTCAGTTTAAAGTTTTATGCAAATTCACTGATATAGGCTCAGCCCTGTTTTATTTATCACTTGTGATACTGTTTATGAGCAGAGGAATGGAAGGGATAAACATTTTATTGTTACTGCAAAAACTAGAAACATCCATAGTCAGGGATTTCAACAACCTTGCTTGAATAGTAGTCAGAGCAAAATGGATTTTTTTAGAGTATAAGAGTAATACTGTAACCCAACGAATATTCGCGACCAATTAATATTGGCTTTATTCGCGGATGGCCACGAAGCGCGAATATTTGTTTGCGCGAATAAGTCCGCAAGATTTCGCGAATAAATTGGAGAGAAATTTTTATTTTAGACTTTGTTCATGCAAAGCTGCTTGACCGGATATATTCAATTTTACGGGCACCTGGTAGGAAGTAATGAATTGTTATGAATATTGCCATATAGCAATAAAAACACAAACTAAGTAAACTACTACTATTTTATAAATATCAAAAGAACTCTATGTCAATATAGCAATCAAAATCATAATGTCCGTAACTTCCACGTTTACGCTTTACACCACTCTTTGGTGATAAAATTTTAAATACAGCTTTGTTTGCCGCTTTAATCATTTTTTTTCTTTTCTGGTGTGCTTTCCAGATCATGATCAGGCAAAAGCGATGCCGAAACATCCCTGCATTCTGAGGGTTTATTTTTTATCAACCACCCTTTTAACGACATGTTTAGAAATGAAGACGAACGATGCGTACATGTACATATATAGAGAATGTTTTGCTGAATTGTGATCACAATTCACTTACCAATACAATATATAAGGCTAGCGTATTGGTTATCCCATTTAAGACACCAATAATGACCTCAATTATTGAAGATTAATAGTCGGCTAATGGATTTTACGGCCCCATCGGACTTTCCAATCCGCGAATTTTTTTTCGGAAATCAAGAAAACGCGGAAATTAATATTCGCGAATATGTCCGACCTCTGCAAAACACGAAAATTTGTATTCGCGAATATAAATTGGGTTACAGTAAATTCCTTTACAAGAGTAATAAAGAAATGGTCAAACTTTACATCATAAAGAAATGGTCAATCTATAGTCATAAAACTTGACAAGAGGTCATACAAGAGAAGTTTATGATTACAAACACTTTAAATCTTCTAATTGTTAACCCAACATCATAACTTACAATGGTATGTTAACACATTGTATCACATGTATCTTAACAGTAATATATGCATGTACAACAAATTGTCATACAGCATGGGGTGTTACAAATTTTATTAACTTTGCAGAATAAACTTGACAGCCTTATACTTACATAAAGCATGACTTGTACGAATGTACATTATCTAGGACATGATTATCAAGTCTAACCTTACCACACATATTATATATAGGACAGAACATTAAAGATAAAACAAAGGTTAACAATGTACTTAAAAATTTAGGTACTAGTGGTTAAAATAACAAATATACATTGCCTGTACAGAATATTAAAGTCTGCCTGCAAGTCCATGCAGATAAAAAAACAGATTTATATAAACAATTCGAAAGAAACAGTGTGATGTCATTTAAAATCTATACCAGTTTCCACATATAAATAACAAAATAATTCTGCACACTCTTTTGAATATGCCTATCTTTATGATCATTAATTGTTCAGAACATTATTTCATCATTGGAACTAGTATCCTTTGTTTAGGGGAATCTCGTTTCAAAAAGATAATATCTTTTACGCTCTTTTACGTCATACATTTTGTATGATATGTTGTCCTAATTAACTGAAACGCAACACTGTAATTACAGAATTGATCATGTCTGCAGCAAGGAAATCAGTTTCTCGTCACTTGAAATAATCATTTTTTGCACATTTGCTGTAGTTAGTGGAAACCATATTTCAGAAGAATTTCACACACACGCAATTCAATTCAGTTCAATACAATGATCAAGAAGCCAAATTAATTATAAATCTATTTTCTATTGATTTATTGAATGCATTTTGAAGTCTTTTTGGTTACTGGTAAACTAAACAATTTGAAACTCAACTGAACAAGTGTTGCATTTGAAAGAACGCCATGACTCAGGTGGTGACCTTGACATTTCACCTTTAAAGGGCCTTAAAGGTATGCCGATCAAGGTATATACATTTGTAAAGTTAAAGGCTGTGGATGACAGGGCCTCTTTTTTCCAAGGCTACAGTTTATATCTTAATTCTGGAGGTCATGATGACCTTGACCTCTGATCATTAAGTACGTCTTTTGGGCAGAATTCTGCATTCTGCATACATTTATAATTTAAATGACACCAATTTTACATGGTCACAATTAATATTTGTTATTTGGTGGTCATTGTGACTTTAAATTTTTTGTTATAGGTCAAAGGTTAATGTCATTCATGAATATGCCAAAAACAAAGTATGTAAAGCCCATGTATGATGGCTCAAGCTTATAAAATGGTGTCTTATTAAAGCTACCCACACACAGAGAAACAAAAAAGACAACAACTATAAAAAATGGATACTGGGTAAAAACTACAAAATTAAAACAGCTCTGTGCCATTGAATTTGTGACGGAATATCATGATTTTACAGTAGAAATGTAATTATTAATCTATCTACAAAACCTGAACTTACATTGATTTTTAGACAGCTACTTTAAAGAGATTGATAGCATATATGAAAGTCATGCAACAGAAAATCAATAAAATAATTAGGTTTCTGAACAAAAGTTTAATTATGAATTTATCATTTCCATGTTGCATGATATATGGGTGCAGTGGTACAATGATAACAATTTCTCATTAATGATTATGTTTGATTTAGTAATCCAGAGATTTTATTTTTAAGTTTAATCCTATGCTAAAGTGTACTTTCACTAAAATTACTAGCAGTATTTTCAATGAGATTCTAAATTGACATCAAGAGTATTGACAAGTTACAGCTATGCTCATTAACCATGGACCTACTGTTGCCGAAACAATCTACTGATGCTTCCAATTCCAGCGCAAATCAAGATCTGACTGAACAACTGTGCTGTCTTATCAGGGTTTACACTGTTCGCTATTCAGTCAGTACAAATTTGGCAGTTCCCCCCTTAAAATGATAAATGGTTTTGTCTAGATTCAAAGATGGACAAGTCCAGTTAAGTATTTAGTGTGGTAGAGGGTATAGACCAGACAAGCATTGGTTTATTTGGGAATGGAGAATCCATGCTTTTCTAGAACTACAAATGAATCCCTAAATAACTAACGCACTTCCTGAGCTGTCAATCATAATAGATTTTAGTTGGATACTATATATACATGAGTGATACACATGTATCCATATAATATTAATAAAATCATTTTGAAAAGTTTTTATGTCTTATAAATCTAACAAGCATCCACATAACCAGGAATATCAATGAATTTTGTCAACCAACCATTTTCAAGCAGAATGCCACAAAAATTAGTCACATTTAAACAAAGTATTGATAGATGAAATATCTTATTTTATCTGTGATGTGAGCAACATTAAAAATCAATTATTATTAATTTTCTTATAAAAATATTTCTCTGCCATTCAAATAATAAATTTATGAGGATCAGATATGCAGGTGAATAATTACAATTACTATTGCATGTGTTTGATGTAATCTTGCTTTTGCTGTATGACCTGGGCAGATTTACAAAATTAAACAAATTACAATTAGGAAAAAAAACTTCTTTTTTTTACATAACAATGATTTGTTGGATTGAAACCAGCTGAACTACAGTACAGTATTCAGTTACTTAAAGTTATGAATAGAGATAACAATTTTTGAAAATGGTGTATAAATCAGTGTCTTAAAAACCAGAATTTGTTTGTTTTGTTGGATTTCAATTCACACTGACACTTCAAAAGTCATAGGGACCCTCCCTTCTTTACTGGTGGAGGAAGACTTCAGATGCCCCTTTGTGTATTTATTAATTTAGGCACAAACAGGCACCTGAGTAGAACCACTGACTTCTGTAAGCTAGACAGATACTTCCCTCACATGAAATCATCCAAAGTCCCTGACAGGATTTGAACCCACAAGAATCCTGAGTTTGAGACCTACTCATAACAGTGCCTCCTTACATCACTGTTGTACAGGCTGGCCTGGCTCTATACAGGTGGCAAGAGTTAGTCTCCTTGGGCTATAAATGAATATTATATCTCATACTTACGATTCTGCTTCAGCAACTGTGACATGCCGATCTTTCTCCAAATCTATTTTGTTACCAGCTATACATAAACATATATCATTGCCTAACATCTTCCTTAGCTCCTTCACCCAATTCTTCACCTAAAATATTAAAAAAAGATTTTCACATTTTTTGGAGTCAATCAAATAAAGGTAAATTGACAGGAAAACTTCAAGAGAGAACAATCTATTTCAGTTATGTGATAATTATCCATTTAGAACAACCAGCAATAACTTTGGCATACACTTAAAAGGCACATTATGCCTCAGAATGCATACTATTTATCCTTAGAGAAAAAGTCAAACCTAGTCCTATGTTTAATAATGGATTGACCTCGTTTGATACTTGACAAGTAAATAAATCAACACTGAGTAACAAATAATTGTCATAAATGTGTAGAACAAAATTATCACATACTTAGTAGTCACCGGCATTAGCAAAATTAATATGGAAAGCACCTTACTCCTCCAGAAGTTGAAGGTTAGTATTAGCAAATAACATAAATCTTCACACTGTTTACAGACAGTAACCATGTTTTCTTTGTTTATATTTTATCTATTAGTTGGGCTTTTTTCTTTCTTTCTATCAGACAAAAAAAAATACCATTTAGAAATGTTTAGCCAGTAAAGTCCTTAGCCCCCTGATAATAGAAGAAAATCAGAATACTCTCAATTGGGACCCAATATGGTCTATAGATAAAATCAGGATAAAAACAACCTCAAGTTGCCTTCACAATTTTATTTACCTTTTGAAATGAGTCTTCATCTGTTATATCATAGACTAGAATTGCACCATTACTGTCTCTATAATATATAGGACCCAATGCATGGAATCTTTCCTGGCCTGCAGTATCCTACAAGAGAAATTGCAATAAATAAGAAAAAAATATTGTACTTATAATTCAGTACATTATAATTAAATTACAGGTATATAATCAACTGATATTCACAAACCAATTCATATGGTGTTATCACCTCTATAAATGAAGGGTACACTGTATTTTTAAAGTCCTTTTGAGGTGAAAAAAATCAATTTTAAACTGGTTGTTATTCTTTGATTTTGAAAGTACCATTTAATTTAAACATTTCTGCAGATTTATGAACTCAATAACTGTGTTTCTCACAATGCAATTACCAAACAGTCAGTTCCTAATGTTTAATAATTAATATAAAATAATTCAGTTAATATTCAAATTAATTAGTAATACTTTTAACTACTAGTATATGTATTACAACAACAGCAGTTTTTATGCATACTTTACATAAAACGTTCCACACCTGCTAATTACAACTATAAACTTAAACTTAAATGTGACAAAAGCATGTAGCTTAATAAATATGAACCAATCTCTAGGCCGCTTCCTGGAACTAACCAGTACTGGTCTTCCTGGAACTAATGTTGTGACCACACTTGGGCACAATCCCTTGGTGGAGTTGAGAGGCCGACCTTTAATCTTCAGACCATCCCACACCATTGTGACACCAAGCATCCTTAAAACATCTACAATGTATATAGACAAAGTCATGTTTCATGTAATTGTTTTTTAATCAAACTCACCCATATATTCAGAGTAACTCTTTTTCCACCAATGTTTAATTTTTTGGTAAGAAATGAAGCCTGAAAGAAAAAAAATGAAATAAATCATGAATGGCATATTATGCAATCTCTAACAAAAACATGTCAACAATTTTATCAGTTTTATAACATTGTAAATTTGTCTTAACTTAAACCAGGCCTGACTTAAAAATCTTCAATATTGAAGTAGTTAGAAACAACTGTCAAACCTGTAGTTAACTGCTGACAGCTGAGATAATGAAATTGATGTTTTTTTTTACAATTTCTTACTCAGTGATCACTGATCAGTCTATACCTATATATAATGACATTGCTTTTTGACTTTTACTTAAAGTTAACAGGCACATACATTAAAGTGGCTACTGGCTATATGGCCAAGTGGCTGACGAGTCAGACTAGTAACCTAGGGATAACTATCTGTGTGAGTCCAAACTGTGACAGGAGTGAACTGCTGTTTCCTTGACACATTGCTCAGTCCAGGTACATATTCGAGCGTGTGTTTGTAAGCTACTGGTAATAAAGCCATAAACTTCCTATAGACCAAGTGCACACATTAAATAATTTGGACATGTGTATAAGGTTATAATAATAATTCTAATTGATGGAATAACAGCTTATTAGTTGAACTTATCCATTTATCTCTTGGTATGTAAGTTTATAGTTATTATTATTGAAAGTTGAAATACATTTTTGCCATGATTCGTCTCTGTTTTTCAATATATTCCGGTAACTCTTATGGCTCAAGGATCATTTTGGAAATATCTGTAGAGGGAAAAATTATACTTAATAAAAGTATGGGGCAGTCTTTATGTTTTAGGTAGATATATATTTTATCCAAAATCTTTTTCTTATATCAACTGTTGTCAAGCACCATTATTATTGTCAATATTGAAATTTATAGTCAATAAAACTCAACTTGACATTGAAAAAAAAAAAAAAAATGAGCTTAATGTCACTTAAATGTTTTAAATTTAATATGATGATATATGCCATGAATTGATAATGTAAGGTACAGTAGGGGATGGCTCTCCGACCCCACTGCACCAATTACGGGGAAAATAAATGGGCAACCTGTGTTGCTGAAAAATTAAAAAAAAAAAAGTTTATAGTTATTAATCTTTCACCCCAAGTCATAAATAACTGGGATTGGTTCATGAGTGTTAACACATAAACAGAAACAGGATGTTGTTCAAAATGTTTTGTACAAAATGATAGCTCAAACTGTAACATTTTCTAGTAACTGGTACAATTTCAAACATGAGACAGAAATTTTTCAGCAATTATCACTAAAGGTACATGTCTATAGACTATACTGGAAATTTAGTATGGACTACTTAATAATGTATGAGAACCATGTCAATCTCCTGGATTAGACACGCTGTATTTTCGAGTATAACTTGAATTTAATAAACCTAAGGTGTTGTTGTTGGTAGTTTTCACTCTGGATCACAGCAGTATGCCATACTGAATTTACCAGAGCACAGTTCAGCCACTGAATCATCCCAGGGCAGACTGTAAAGCACTAAATACTAAGTACTAAATGCCTTTTCTTTCACAAGAAACTGATTACTTCTGTACACACAAGAGCAGATGTACACTGAGAGTGAATGACCTTTCGAAAGGATTTCATGATCAATCACAACGAAAGTGACCTGCACTGTCCTGCAATCAAACCTGGGTCGCCCGATTCACGCAGTCCAACGCTCGCTCCCAACGCTCTTAGTCTTACCTATTGAGCTAACTGAATGGCTCTAATAAATTAAAGAAAACAGCGTGACCTTATATATATACTCTTAGTTAGACCCCCGGATCTATTCTTGGATTTAGCCAGAAGCATACATGTAACTAATTTTATTAAAACAAACATCATCATTTTTTTTATTAACATCACTATTTTTTTTATTACTAGATTATATTGCAACATTCTGAAATTTAATTGGACCTTTAACATAATAACAGATATATACCATAAACAGCATGACAAGCTTACCTGCAATGTTGTTAAATGTTTTTCATTAAACTTATTTTCAACATATCTCAACACACATGATGTTTTTCCAACACAACCTTCTCCCAACAAAACACATTTGAAATTAAAGTTTCTACCACCACCACCGGCCATCTTTGCGATTGTCAATAATAATCAAGTAATTCAAATCAAATCCTGTCAATGTACAATGGTTTAGGATATCATTTCTTTGGTTTTGACGTAAATTTCACTTCCTCATCATAATCAAAACATTTACACCTCTTTCTGAATGAAACATGGCGAATGTGACGTCATCTGTCACGAGAAAGCAGCTTGTATCACTGAATAAATTACGATTCGTTTGTTGAATTTTAAAAACAGGTGTAAACTTATATGTTAAGTATGATCTAAAGGTATTTTTCGGTATTTTAAATGGACAAGAAATAGAAATGTTTATTATTTCTGCGTTTTATTTTTAATTTATTATATTTATTTTCATATTTTATTTGCGAGAAGCGACGTCTGTCATGAACCAAAATAAACATTATTTGTGAAGATGGCTGGGGAAATTAAGGTGTATAAACTTATCTACATTTGTTTTAAATACATGTTTGGCTCATATGCTTTAAATATTTGCTTATTTTTAATTATACTATGACATTTTTGACGATCATTTTCTTAAAAATTCATATTCTATACAATTTCATCAGAATTTGTCATGTCCTCCTCATTCAGTCTTTTGGGATTTTTTAACACAATTTTACATTTTCTGATATTCTAAGTGATAATAAAATAATACTGATTTTATTGCAAAATTTGACTGAGAATTTTTAGCTATTTGGTTTATGCATGATGAAACCTATACAATTTCATCAGAATTTGTCATGTCCTCATTCAGTCTTTTGGGATTTTTTAACACAATTTTACATTTTCTGATATTCTAAGTGATAATAAAATAATACTGATTTTATTGCAAAATTTGACTGAGAATTTTTAGCTATTTGGTTTATGCATGATGAAACCTGTGTACATGACAATTGGTCATAATATTTGCTCAGTGGCTTAACAGATTTAAACAGGTGATTTATGAGTCATACACTGCATGTACATTACAAGGCAGCAGAATTCTTTCAAAATATTTAACTTAGTAACAGAGTTGCTTTGATTTAGTTTCAACATAACTGTCAGAGAGAAGGATTCAAATTTATATCTGCGATTTATCGAAAAAAAGTGTTGATTATAATCATATTTCCTACATATATTTAAAAAAACACTGACGTCTGTTAATAACTTAATTTTCATAATAGTGATTTAAAAATCTCAACATATAGTGGAAGGATTTTTATAACATATATACACTTTTGTGATTTAACTGATTATCAGTTGTGCTTTAGAAGACAAATTTATATTAATTACTCATTATTATCTTGTATAATAAAAACTATTATGCCAGAAACACTTAAAATTCATCTAAAGAATAGAGGAAGTGCTGTCCGAAAAAGTGTATTAAATTTAAGGAAAAGGCTAAATGATCATACAAATGGTTCAAGGGTCTACAGGTCAAGCCTTTCACATTCATTGGATGGAGTGGTATTTTCAATTTTGGTGGTTTATTATTAAAAAAATAAAATAATTAACATTGTCATTTGTGATCATTTCACTCTGATTATTTTTTTATAATTTCCCATATTGAGCTATTTCATAAGTGACAGAATTATATCTTTGATAGATGAAGTCTAACTCTTAACATCTAGCCATTAATTAGATAATAAAGATATGGAACAGAGTGTGCAGCATTTTCTATGCAATCAGTTACTCTTTTCTTCTATGTTGCAAAACCTTTTTATTTAATTCATGCAAGAATAAAAGATGTTGAATGAATTGATTTCATTTTGAAACCTTTGTTACAATGGGAACATATTTAAAATCAATTAAATAAATAAATGGACTATCTCTAATAAAGAAGAAGTTATGTTTACTAATATTCATGAAATGTTTACTGTATTTTAGACACTGTATGAGAAGGATGGTGTATACATACACATCAATGTGAATACAACCACATCAGACAAAGATGCCCATCTACCTGGTAGAATATATCTACTACAAAAGGTATGTTCACCACAAGTGATTATAAATAAATTGGTTCCAAAATAAAACAACAACCACCTCACTTTTTATGCACAGGGTGTTCACTAGCCATGAAGTCCTGAGGGTCAATTTGACTAAGTTTTACACGACGACTTCATGGCCAAATCCCCATGATTTTAACAAAATTTGACCCTCCAGTTAAAATCCTGAGGGTCAAATCAGGCCTTTTGGAAATTTGAAGGGTCAAAGTGTCATTTCAAGGGTCAAACGGACACCCTGTATGCAGTTGACAAAATTATAATTCTGTTATACATGTAGTTTCATACATACATGTGTAGCAATTAAAATTTCAAAATTGCCAGACCTGTCTACAAGTTCAAGTAATCAAAGGATTGCTGATTAGTAATCTAAGGATTGCTGATTGCATGGGTTCAAACCATGTCAGAGGCAAGAGGTTGTTTCCTTGAGCAAGAAACTACCTTCATCGCTCAGTACTGGTTGGTTCCAGGAACGGATTCGAGAGTGTTTCAATAAGCTTATAGCTTCCAACACAATCAAACTAAAATAAACTTGTTTAAACTAAGTGCAGTTCAGATTTCCCAATTTTTGCTCAACAAATTTTTATTTAAAATGATTTATTCTAAACAGGAATGTAGTCAGTGTCATAGAACATTATATGCTGTTTCATGCTGTTAGTTATAAGTTTTATATAAAGTTTTTCCATACTTCTTGATATGCAATGTTTCTTTATGCAGGAGGAAGGAACCTTTATTGAATGGAAGGCAGAAGAGGTTATGTCCCTTGACAACCACTCCGAACAAGACTGGGCAATGATAAGTTCAGTTGGTTACCAACCTGATAGGGGTTCTGACACAGGTGAGACTTTCATAGATGTTCTTATAATGTTAGATTAGGACTTTGATTCATGGAAGGTTTCAAGTTCAGGTTTATCATTCAGGTAATGGGGTATGATGGTGGGATTTTTTTACTGTATTTTAAAACTGAATTTTATACAATTTTTACTGTGTCCTAGACACTGTATGAGAAAAATAGTGCAAACTCTTTTGAATGGAAAAGCCAATTTTTGTGATCAGTTACTTAATAAAGTTTTGTGAAATGATGATATCAAAAAAAAAAATGGAAGTAACAAACAGTTTATTAAAACTCTGTGAATATTTTTAGTATCTGACCAGAAAGCGGAGAGAAAGCGTTACAATGTGAGTTTTGATGTCCTTGATTTGAAGAGTTTCAAAAGAAGTGCTCCAACTCATGGCTGGGCATATATCATCTTCATACTGAAAGATGGAACCACGTACCCTGCTGTACACTTTCACAATGGAGGCAGTAAAGCTTTGTTGAAGGAGTTAGAGAAATTCATCCACATAAGAAGGTATTTATTATTATATTATTTATATGTATGGTGACTTGCATTTTCTAAAGTTTAATTTTTATGCTGTACATATCTATAATCTGCCAAGGCATTAACTTTAAGACATACATGTACATGTAGTGGAGGCTTTTTATTTAACAGTGAAATGCTTTCGTGCTAAACTGTTTTATCTCCTTTTTATCACCATGTTAATTTCTTGGAATATATGAACAGTTGTATATATTAGATAAACAGTCAGTTAAAGTCTAGATTAATTCAGCTTTCATGAATTTTAGAAAAAAGATTATCTCATTACATGATAGATGACCTCACTGTGAAGGTCATAATTTGAATTGATATTATGTACTTTTTTCAATCTGACAATATTTGACCTTCATTGTTAAGGTCATATTTGAATTGATAATCATATCATGTACATTGTTTCAGTCTGACAAATATACAAAAATATTGGTATTTTCACTGAAGAGGAAATTCAGTTTTTTTTTAGACATAATTGACCTTTGATCTGTTGCTATATTGTAATTATAGTAAATTAGTAAAGTTTTTTTTGACAGGTTATGCCCATTATGATGTGAACCAGGCCCACTAGGTGGGGCTATTTATAGTAAACAACCAAATAGCCATTCAAAAGTCTTTATAAGGAATTATTTAATAATAATGCACAATTTCCTGCTTGGATCAAAATACTCATGAATTTACATCAGCTATTGTTTATAGATAATATAAACATCCTAATTGTCCAATGAAATTCAACATGACATGCAAATGATGCAGTATTATCCATAGTCTAGTCATGCAACACTAAGTTTACAAGTCACCAGTTATTGTTCTGTATCGTGGTATGAAATGGGTTTTTTAGATGACTAAGTTAAAAATATAGTGTCACAGTGACAAATAATGAAATAAATATACATATAAAGAATATATAATTTCATATACTAAGGGAGAGAATAATTTTTTTATATTTATATTAATCATTTTTGAATATAGGACAAAAAGAGTAATGAATTTTCATGTTCATAGTTATTGGAATTGAATATTTAAATATAAATATTTGATATACATGTAAATAACTTGTAAGTATAAAGCTTAGTTGGCCAGAATATTCAATTTGACAGTGCAGTTTTGGACAGGAAGTTATGTACATGTAAATTATGTTATCTCATTCCTAGCGTAAAAAATTGTAAATCCGAGCTCATAGCAAATTCACTTTAGACCTATTATGTTTTATAACAGTTTACATGTAACATGTTATTGATATATGTTAACATAATTATGTTCAGGTCACCTACAGACAATCGATTGTTCATTGTACAAGATCATGACCCGGAGGCCCTGTCTATGTCATTTGATGAACTTAATCTCTTCCAAGATTCACAAGGAGATCTTGTTACTGTAAGTTTATATTTATTATCATCTTAATTTTTATCTACAATAATGAAGCTATGTTTTACTTTTAATTTGAAAAGGCTAATCTTTAGTCCTTTGGTCTCTCCTGGCTGCAACAGATTCTAGCCCCGGCAGACCCATATCATCTTGCACATCTGTGCGTTTCTATGTTATTTTGAGTGAGCCCATGCATTGATTCAATGTTAAGGCCCCTTGTTTACTTTCAATAGCTTTCATGTTTGGATTGGTCACTTATTAGAATGAAAGTTTTAGATAGTCTAAAGTGACAATATACTAATTTTTCCATTGTTGAGTTGAGCTCATTTGCTTTATCAGCTATATGTTTAAGTAGCTTGACTGTTATTATGGTCCTCAAGCAATAGTTGAAAATGAAATTTTTTTAGGATAAAGATATAACAACTGTCTTAAATATAAAAAGACTGTTTAACTCTTGTTATCAATTAAACAATATATTATGAAGGATATTTATAGGATTTTCTGTGAGTCATGTTGGTTATTGGTTACACACATGACCTAGACTATAAAATTGAAAACAATTATGGCAGAATCTAAAGTTATTTTGACCTGTACAACCAACATTTACACTTAGATGGGCAGAATGTTTTTTTTTTTCATGAAAAATTATCAGTAAAGTTATTTGCTTGTTAGGAAATGTTTAGCTTTAAATTGTATTATTGTCTTGAAATTACCAACCACAATCTTATTTAATTTATTTCAGAAATTCATAAAGGACCCATACACTACGACCATGGGGGGTTTCTCAAAAGTGACCAACTTTCTGAAAGATGTTTTGCTACAGCCCGAAGTAGAAAACCTTCGTCCGTCAAAAGTGGAAGAGATCTTGAGTGAAGATATACCAGGCATGGAAATAAACAATCAAGATGAACCAGGGTATGAGCTAGTATCAAAGGTAAATAGAATGAAGTTCATTATTTGGTTTATACAAAATATATTTTAGTTTGATTGTGTAGGAAGCTATAAGCTTAAAGACACACTTCCGAATCAGTTCCTGGAACCAACCAGTACTGAGCAATGAGTGTAAAGGTTCTTGCTCAAGGAAACAATGATTTTAACCTGGCAGGGTTTTTACCCATGAGGCTAGTGTTAATTAGATAACTAGTCCAACATGTTAACCACTTGGCCATGTGGCCACTTAAGTTTATTATTTGTCTTCAAATGTGTTTTTTTTATTCTACCTTTCACGGAGCAAGTTTCATAACATTGTTGATGACATTGTTTCATAACTAGGTTAAATAGAAAAAATCTGATAATTAAATTACCAAAATAAAGATTAGAAAATTATAATTGTTTTTAATGTTGGTCTGCACTGGTAGCTTGACCAAATTCAAATTTTAAGTAAGGACTAATTTTATAGTTTTAAGTAGGTTTAATGTTGGGACTAAATTATTGTTTTAAGTAGCATCTAAATCATGATTTTAAGTATGAGCTAAGAAATTGTTTTAGATGTGGCTTAATTAAAAGTTCTATGTTTCTATGTTTGGACTGAATTATTTGTTTAAAATTGGTATAGACAAAGCTTCCACAAAGACCAGATGTAAACAGGGGAACTCCGCTCACTTCCCAACAATGGTCAAAACATATGGACAAGGAGGGGAGAATTATTAATGTAGACGAAGTTAAGGACCAAATCTTTAGAGGGGTAAGTAATGATTATATCATTTCATTGTATATTAGTTTTTTTATGCTCCACTATTTGAAGAATAGGGAAAGCTATTGTATTCACCTTCAGCTCCACGGTCAAGTTTTTGTGTGCAAGTTGGTATCTCTAAAACTACTGAAGAAAATGGATTGAAACTTCACACACTAAATAACAGGCGTTCATTGTACAAGGTCCATAACTCAAACATGGATTTTGACAGAATTATGGCTCATTTTGAACTTAGAAATTTCTACATTATCCATGACTTTGTTTTACTATTAAGCACTGAGAATAATCAGCATGCTGTACTACCCACATCTCTTGATAAAAATGAAATATTTGATTTGAATTGGTGATAAAGTAAAGTGACTTAGTAGTTACGGTGTCTCTCAACCTAAGAATCGTATGTTTTAGTTCTATTGGAGCTGCCATTATGTTTCATTGACTCCAGTACTGGTTAGTTCCAGGAAGCAGACTTGAAATTAGTTCATATAACCTACACAATATATAAACTTAAGTATAGGTTCTTGTACTTTATGGTGTTTTATTATACTAATACAGTAGTAGATAAAGTGGAATTCATCCTCAGAGTGGTGAGAATTACATAATATACTTTTTTTTAAACTTAATAAGATAGTTTTATTTCTTAAATTTGAAGAAATTAATTTTTGACTTGAATGAGTGTACCACAGAAAAATTGCTGATTTTATTTGTCATAGAGATATTTTATATGTTATTTATGTCACAGGGTGTGGATCCAGCATTGAGAATAGATGTATGGAAGTTTTTGCTGGGTGTGTATGAGTGGGACTCTACCTACTCTAGTAGAACAAAGACTAGAAAAAGAAAATTGTAAGTTGATAGAATTATACAGAAATCTAATGTTGTAAACTCTGACTGTTATTAAGTGGAAAAGAGTATGTGTTTTTTTTAAATCTCTGTCAGATAAGTATTATGAATTTATCACATAGTTTGGATAATTATGATAGTAAACTTCTTCAGTACATTTGTAAAGGAAAAAGAGGACTTTGACTGAGGAACAAGCCAAGCCGAGATAAAATCTCTGCCCTTCAAGGATCTATCAGATGGCGAAATTCATGCCAATTCATCGGCAATAAATTTTGCTATTTTTGTAACAAAATTGAAACCTCTGCAATAACCCATAAATTGCTCATTTCCCCTGCTTTTTTTCCACAACCAGGAATGAGGAAATAAGTGATCCATTTTAATTCAATTAAAATTTGAGTTTTCTTCCAACACATCTTATTTTTCTATATTTATGTTAATAGGGTTTCTGTTAGTGGAAATTTGGGGATCATTTTACTCCTTGATTTAGGCTTGTGACTTCCAAAATTTAATACTTTACCTTTTTTTCCCACATAATGTGACTTCCAGTTTCAGACATTTTGCAGTCTCTTGCTTTCAAATTTAGAAACTTAATGGAAGCCCTGTGTAAAGAACATGAGATTTTCATTAATATTTAAGTGCATAGTTTAAATATATTTTAAATAATAAAGCTTTTGTGTAGTACAATGTATGCTAAATTTATCCTTAAATTTATTCTTGTTTCAGGGATGACTATTTTCGTATGAAGTTACAGTGGACAACAATACGTTCAGACCAGGAGAGAAGATTTTCACTGTTTAAAGAAAGAAAATGTCTGATTGGTAGGCATATTTCTGCAGTGTCTTTTAAATGTTTTATTTAAATTTTTCTATAGTTGATTGTTTATGTGTAACTCATGCATGTTTAGTTTTTGTGAAGTAGAAATATTATTGAATTATAATGACTTTTAATTGAGTCCTGATGACATTTGTGAGACTTAATTGTTTAGAAAAAAAGAATGCTTAAACGGCATGATTAAATAAAAAATTTAATTCAAGCTTGAAATGAAAAATTTACACTTTGTGTGAGTTTATGTTAAAAAATGCTTGGTCATTTAAGTTACAGCCAGAAAAAGATGTAAATGAAATTTGTCAAATTTCAAAGAGTAGCAAGGTGGCATATAACATGTTGCAGCGGAATTTTCTGGTTTCAGAGTCATAGTAAAAAAGCAGAGTGTGCAATGTTCATTTTTAGCTCGACTATTCGATAAGAATAAGTAGAGCTATTGCAGTCACCCGAGCGTCGGCGTCGGCGTAACCACTTATGTTTAAGTTTTTGTAATAGTTCAAATATTTTCAAAGTCCATAGTACATATGGCTTTGAAACTTTGCACACTTGTTCACCATCATGACCCCAACCTGTAAACAGGAGGAGGTAACTCTATCAAGCATTTTGACAGAATTATGCCCCTTTTTCGACTTAGAATTTACGTTAAAGTTTTTGTAATAGTTCAAATATTTTCAAAGTCCATTGACATATGGCTTTGAAACTTTGCACACTTGTTCACCATCATGACCCCAACCTGTAAACAGGAGGAGGTAACTCTATCAAGCATTTTGACAGAATTATGCCCCTTTTTCGACTTAGAATTTATGTTAAAGTTTTTGTAATAGTTCAAATATTTTCAAAGTCCATTGACATATGGCTTTGAAACTTTGCACACTTGTTCACCATCATGACCCAACCTGGAAACAGGAGGAGGTAACTCTATCAATCATTTTGACAGAATTATGCCCCTTTTTCGACTTAGAATTTACGTTAAAGTTTTTTGTAATAGTTCAAATATTTTCAAAGTCCATTGACATATGGCTTTGAAACTTTGCACACTTGTTCACCATCATGACCCCAACCTGTAAACAGGAGGAGGTAACTCTATCAAGCATTTTGACAGAATTATGCCCCTTTTTTCGACTTAGAATTTATGTTAAAGTTTTTGTAATAGTTCAAATATTTTCAAAGTCCATTGACATATGGCTTTGAAACTTTGCACACTTGTTCACCATCATGACCCCAACCTGGAAACAGGAGGAGGTAACTCTATCAATCATTTTGACAGAATTATGCCCCTTTTTCGACTTAGAATTTACGTTAAAGTTTTTGTAATAGTTCAAATATTTTCAAAGTCCATTGACATATGGCTTTGAAACTTTGCACACTTGTTCACCATCATGACCCCAACCTGTAAACAGGAGGAGGTAACTCTATCAAGCATTTTGACAGAATTATGCCCCTTTTTCGACTTAGAATTTACGTTAAAGTTTTTGTAATAGTTCAAATATTTTCAAAGTCCATTGACATATGGCTTTGAAACTTTGCACACTTGTTCACCATCATGACCCCAACCTGTAAACAGGAGGAGGCAACTCTATCAAGCATTTTTTTTACTATCAAGCACTAAGAATAGTCGAGCGTTGCTGTCCTACCGACAGCTCTTGTTGTTTATCTTACATCTAGTTATACATGTGTAAAGTTGTTTTTTTTATGAAAAAGATATTTTACTGTCGTAATTTTACTGTTTTAATCGAGCAGTTTATTTTCACAACTTTTTATGTTTTTGTAAAAAGTATCAACCATAACTTTTTTTTATATATCAGAGAAAGATGTAACGAGGACAGATCGTACACACAAGTTCTTTGAAGGGGAGGGAAACCCGAATCTACAAGTGTTACATGATATTCTGATGACATATTGTATGTACAACTTTGACTTGGGTAAGAATGAGTGGTTTAAGTTAATATCTTTCAAAATGAGTTTTCATACTTTGAATCTCTGATGTTCTTTTGGCCTTAACTTAAACATGTACATGCGGTAAGACTAAAATATATGCAGGAAAGTCAACTTCCCCTTTTTTTTTCAAACTTGAGCAGGTTTCAAAAATATAGGCTACAAAGTTGCAAGTTAGTCACTCACTCCAATTGCCTCGTTGCAAGAGCCCTGCCTTTTAGAATGATATATTGAGTTATTTCAACAATTCATTTAAGTATGTGATTAATTGTAGATATTGAATGAGTGTAAATTTAATACTAAATTTATTGAAGGAGTTCAATAAAATCATATTATGCAAGCCTCTAGTGACCATAATATTGTTTTATTCAACAAGTTTAATAAATTTAGTATTGAATCTTCACAAATATGATATTCTTTCTATCACATATCCAAAATAACAGTTTACAGTTTAAAGAAGTAATTTTTCATTGAGGCATCTGAAGTGCAATGAAGTGCATGAGGGCGCTTCACCACTTTGTATATATATTTATTTGCCTTATAGCGCAAATGACGTCTCATCAAAGTGTTATAACACTAAAGTAATATTGTTTTAATCAAAATGGCTTTATTACACTCCTGCACCTCAGTTTATGTGATAAATATATGTAAATATGCAATTTTTTGTGTTGTTTTAATATGTGTTTATACAATGTGTGTTATATGTGTTGATATTATTTTATACAGGATATGTACAAGGTATGAGTGATCTGTTGTCACCAATTCTAGTCGTCATGGAGAATGAGGTGGACGCCTTCTGGTGCTTTGCTGGTTATATGGAGAGAGTTGTAAGTTTCCATGGATACACATAGTTTTCTTTAAAGTTTAGTTTGCTTGCCATACATCGTATTTATTGGCTGAATATGTGAAACAGGTTTTGTATAATTCATAGATACCATTCATTCCTAATAAATCTTACAATCCTAGATATTTAAAACGAACTGTCTGTATTTTAATCTGAAAAAGCTTTCATCAATTTTAGAAGAAAAAAGAAAGGAAAAAAAGCTAACTTCTAAGACAATAATCAGACAGCGTGGATGTGCTGTTCGATTGTAGTCTGCACTGGTTGCATATCACTTGCTATCATCAAGCTAAAGGCTAGCATTTAGAAGTTAGATGTTGGTTTTTAAGCAAGGAATCAAGAAATAGATTGACCGAGAACAAATGCTTCTTTTTTTAGTTTTACTAAGAAGTGTTGTATCCCTGTTGATTGAACTTGTAGCTTAACAAATTTGAAGGTCTCTCTGTATGTTTTGTTTCTTATTTAAATTTTTCTTAAATGTTGAATCTTTATTTGTTTTAGTGTGATAACTTTCAAATGGACCAAGAAGGAATGAAAACACAACTTTCTCAAATACACAAACTGATGCAATATACTGACCCTGAACTGTGCAATTATCTAGGTATGTATAGAGTCAATAAACAAGGAACATGAGCTCAAAGTTGTAGAGACATGAGCTTCAAACTACATGTATAAGAACATTATATTCAGTTTTTAGCATATTAAGTTTCGAAAATCATTATAACAACATTTTAAAGCTGCATGCCCCAGATGAGCCAAAATATCTTTAAAAAAATCAAACTTGAGAAATATGTCATAAACTTGAACAGAAAGTAAAAATATTTAAGATTCAAGTAACAATTTACATTTGTCTGCAATTAATGACTGATTTTTGCAGTATTTATTACCATATTTCTACTGTTTGACTAAAGTAGAAAGGGCTAATTTAGCATATTTTTACATCTTTTTGGTAATTCACATGGATTTAAGTGCAGTTTGCAATTTGTAAATTACTTTCTCTGTTAATTTCACAATATTTTACTTTGAGATACATTTTCATGAAAATTAGCCTGAATCTGGAGGCATGCTGCTTTAAAACTTATATAACAAGGGTTTATCAAAGTTTGAAAATTTAGCAACATGATTTTTTTCAATTTTAGCAAATTTATTTTCAAAGTTAAGAAGCTTGAACTTTAAACATTCAGCTATATGTTGTTATTGTTATTTCAGAGAGCCTTGAATCTTGAATCTTCTTTAATTATTCATTTGTCTTAAACATGTTGATATGACTATTCAAAACAAGTATGGAAACATTCATATACTTTTCATAGATTTTATATGTATTTTCATGATTTTATTTCAGAGAGCCATGAGTCTGGAAACTTCTATTTCTGTTTCCGCTGGATATTAATTCACTTTAAGAGAGAATTTTCATTTGCTGATGCACAGAGACTTTGGGAGGTAATATATTTTATTCATTTTCTTAGATGTTATTCACCATCTCTTACAGGATCGGCTAATAATGAATATGAAATTTATTTTTTTTGTACGGATGCATTCATGTTAACATGCTTATTAGATTTAATATTTAGTATTCTGTTGTCTGACTTTCTGAATACTATTTAAATTCTTTCAAAGAAAACAATTACATGTAATTAAAAAAAGGAATAGTAAGTTAGTTTGTAACGTAAGTAAGTAACAACTTTATTTAATGAGGATAACACATTCGGTTTCCTGAGCTTCCATGTGGGCCTCAGAAGTGGGCCTCGGAATTACCAGTATACAAAACCATTTTATTTGCTATTAAAGAATTTCATGTTTGATAATTATGTGGTCAATAAACTTATTACATTATAAAATTTTGATGTATCAGTGTAATGATTGTGATGCTGCTGTTTAAATCTTGTCACCCTAAATATCTTAAATGAACTTGTCCATATTTCAATCGGGACAAAACCATTCATTACTTGTAGGGGATTTTCAAAAATAAGTTCATTTGTGCTGAAAAAGTAACATGGAGATCATGATCAGAATGACTCAGATATGCCTGTTGACCTTTGTCTGTTGTATTAGAAAATTCAGTTGAGACCAGCAAATAATGTTCCTAAAAAATGCAAGAACATTTACATTACAGTGTTGTAGTTTATTTAATTTAGTTTAGTATTAATTTTAGATATAAACAGTGCTATAGTTAAAAGTAAAACATTTTTTTCTTTTTTCATAAATGAATGAAATGCTTGCCTCTGATTCTGTTATTTTATTTATTTCTTTTACCAAAGTCTATTAGATACAAACTAAGGTAAATTTATACATACCATCAATCTGTATATCATAGGTAATATGGACGGACCGACCTTGTAAAAACTTCCACCTGATAATCTGCCTGGCTATACTAGATACAGAGAAGACCACCTTGATGGAGAACAAGTTTGGTCTAACAGAGATTCTAAAGGTAATATTATACCAGTATATTTTATACCATTATGTTTTATCAGTATATTTTATACCTTTATATTTTATACCAGTATATTTGATATGATTATGTTATACCAGTGTATTTTCGCTGCTGTCATGGGTTTTTGCGACTTGATGCTCAAGGTTTCAGCTTTATTTTAAGTCACTATAAGGTTGCTGAAACTGCCATCAGAATCACCGTCATTGGCTAGTGGTCTTTACTGTTAGTCTGAAAATTAGACTTAAGATGCTTCTTTTGCTATATTGTACTTCAATGTATGGGAAGTATTTGTCCAGTGCACTTGTGCTACGTGTTTGTATCAGAATCATTCTAAAGCCACTCTTTGTTAACATTTATTTTGAGTTGTGATTGAAATGATACAGAAACAAAGTGATGTTTTTAAATTTAGTTTGAATAAATCACCAATTATAGTGTTTACCCCCTTTGAATCTGTGACTATTTTTTGTTTCAGCATATTAATGATATGAGTATGGCGATCCATTTGGAGGAGTCGTTAAAAAAGGCGGAGGGCATATTTTTACAGCTAAAGAATGCCAAGCACTTGCCCGATGGAGTAAAAGAAATTCTCGGTTTCCCAACAGCATCAGTTTCGTCTTCCCCAGCTGGTTCTCGGGGAAGTTCCGGAACTAGCACACCGGTCATTCCACATACACCGGCAAATACTCCGGTGAACGTTGCGGTCAATGCACCAGTAAATGCAACATTAACTGTCGGTTATAGTAAAGAAAATAGTGCTAGACTTCACTTACCAGAATTTTTACGAGACAATGGACAAAAATCAAATAGCGGAAATGCGTCACCGGATGATAGCAGTATAGAAATTTTGTCGGACAATTGTAATTCTGGAACGTCAAATTACTACAACTAAAGACCAAGCTTCCAAGCTTTTGAGTGATATTTACTTGAACTACATTTGTTGTTTTTCTCTTAAAATGCTGGTGTGATAAATTCTTGATAAATTTCTTATTGGGTTTTCAACGGATCTTTTTTTCAAGTTTTGTTGACAGTTTTAAAAGTTACCCTTACTGCTGTTTTGCTCATATAAATGGAATCTGCATAATGTGAAAACAATTTTCATGGGTGATTTTTTAAAAGGATCTTCTGTTTTGGAAGAAAAATTTGACAATATCTACATGTACATATTATCTGTTTTTGATTAAATGAAAACTTTTTCAAACCCATTTGATTCCTATTACTATTGTTCTTAAATATGGTATATTTGAAAGGAATTTCATGATATTTTAGAATTGAATTTCATACATATCTCTGAAGACATTTGTTGTTAAAAATTTCTTGAATTAACATGCATTCATTCAATAAACTCCTTAAAAACATAAATCATAAAACTAAAAAATAATTGTATATTTGTCCGGAAAAAAACAACATATAAAAACAATACAAAAAGTGCATAATTACTTGTATGTAAAGGCTATCAAAACCCCTTTCTCAAAGTTTTTTTTGTTAAATTCTAACTTGTTTGTGCTATTATATTATCATATAATTTAAATATTTATATGTAAATCTTACTTGCTGTAAGTAATCATTCGATATGTCCATTAAATTTAAATATAGAATATTGTCAAAATATGTAATTTTTATTGGAAGGTTAAAAATAGGCTTTCAGTGACTCCGCCTCCTGTAGTGTTCTATAAATAGAACCTCATTATTTGTGTAATTTTGGACTCCGCCTCCTGTAGTGTTCTATAAATAGAACCTCATTGTGTAATTTTTTACTCTACCTCCTGTACTCTGAAAAGATATACAAAATTTGTATGCTTTTGACTCCACCTCCTGTACTATTGAAGCTGCACGCCTCCAGATGAGCCAAAATATTTCAAGAAAATCAATATTGAGAAAAATGACTAACCTTTTAAGAAAGGTAAAAATATTCAAGATCCTAGTTATATTTTTCATGTTATGTGGGGTTTAAGACTGATATTGCAGTATTTTATCACCATATTTCTTCTGGGTTACTTACGCAGTAAGGGCTGTTTTTGCATATGTTGACCACTTTTTAGCTCACCTGTCACAAAGTGACAGGGTGAGCTTTTGTGATCGCTTTTCGTCCGGCGTCCGTCGTCCGTCCGTCGTCCGTAAACTTTTACTTTAAATGACATCTCCTCATAAACCACTAAGCCAATTTCATCCAAACTTCACAGGAATGTTCCTTTGGTGGTCACCTTTGAAAATTGTTCAAAGAATTTAATTCCATGCAGAACTCTGGTTGCCATGGCAACCAAAAGAAAAAACTTAAAATATCTTCTTCTAAAAAACCCAAAGAGCTAGAGCTTAGATTTTTGGCATGAAACATCTTCTGGTGAGTGTCTACCAAGTTTGTTCAAATAAAAGCCCTTGGGTCAAAATTGGCCCCGCCCCAGGGGTTCTTTGATTTTCCCTATATGCATATAGTAAAAACTTAAAAAATCTTCTTTTAAAGAACCAAAAGAGCTAGAGCTAAGATATTAAGCATGAAACATATGCTAATGGATGTCTACCAAGTTTGTTCAAATAAAAGCCCTGGGGTCAAAATTGGCCCCGCCCCAAGGGGTCATTGATTTTCCCTATATACATATAGTAAAAACTTTAAAAAATCTTCTTTTAAAGAACACAAAGAGCTAGAGCTAAGATATTTAGCATGTAACATCTTCTAATGGATGTCTACCAAGATTGTTCAAATAAAAGCCCTGGGGTCAAAGTTGGCCCCACCCCAGGGGGTCATTGAATTTCCATTTATACATATAGTAAAACTTAAAAAATCTTCTTTTAAAGAACCCAAAGAGCTAGAGCTAAGATATTTAGCATGAAACATCTTCTAATGGGTGTCTACCAAGTTTGTTCAAATAAAAGCCCTGGGGTCAAAATTTGCCCGGCCCTGGGGGTCATTGATTTTCCAAATTTCCTTATATGTATAGGAAAAACTTAAAAAATCTTCTTTGGAAAAAACATAATAGCTAGAGTTTAGATATTAAGCATGAAACATCTTCTAGTGATTGTCTACAAAGTTTGTTCAAATAAAAGCCCTGGGGTCAAAATTGGCCCCACCCCGGAGGTCATTCATTTTCCCTATATGTGTAAAACTATAGCAAAAATTGAAAAATCTTCTTTGAAAAAACTCAAATAGCAAGAGTTTAGATATTAAGCACGAAGCATCTTCTAGTGAGTGTCTTCAAAGTTTGTTCAAATAAAAGCCCTGGAGTCAAAATTGGCCCGCCCCGGGGGACATTGATTTTCCTTATACGAGTATAGCAAAAACTTAAAAATCTTCTTTTAAAAAACTCCAATAGCTAGAGTTTAGATATTAAGCATGAAACATTTTCTAGTAAGTGTCTACAAAGATTGTTCAAATAAAAGCCCTGGGGTCAAAACTGGCCCTGCCCCAGGTGTGTCATTGTTTTTAACTATATGTGTAAAGAAAAAACTTTAAAAAATCTTCTTTTAAAAATCCCAACGAGCTAGACCTTAGATGTTTAGCATGAAACATCTTCTAATGGTTGTCTTCAAAGTTTGTTCAAATAAAAGCCCCGGGCTTTAAACTGGCCCTGCTCCGGGGGCCTATGTACAGGTGAGCGACTTCAGGGCCATCATGGCCCTCTTGTTTGGTAATTTTTGTGGATTGTAAGTGTCGATTATACTATGTCAATTACTTTATTTGCTCACCTCACATTATTTTACTTTTAAATACATTTCCAAAATTGTTATGAAAATTAACATGAATCTGGAGGCGTGCTGCTTTAAAAGAACCACATTTATTGTGTACTTTTTGACCACACCTTCTGTACTAAAAAGTACAAATTAAGGAACTTTCATTTGAAAATACACACTTGATAATGTCTTTAAACCTTAACCTGCTTAATTTTTGTAATGGATTTGCCCAACTTTGATTTTGGAACAGTTCATTTGATGTTTAAGTGATTTCACTATCAGAATACCAACAGTATAAAGCCTGATCAGACTGTATGGATATGCACGCTGGCCTGGCTCTATACTGGTGGCAAAAGCTAGACACTCTGTTCCAGCAGAGTAAGAATACCTTTAATGACGAATTTTTAAAATTGACCAAAATGATTTAATCATTATCTAAAAAGAAGAATAATTGTAAGGCCAAAACAATTAATCAGTATTTGTAACTCTTTCTAGAAACCAAAAGCATATAGATGTAATTGATGAGAATGTACAAGAAGTATGTTTGTTTTTGTTCCTTTCACTAAGTAATGTTTGCTTTTGGTCTTCAGTGCAGGAAAGTGCAATGGAAATAAAATGTAACAGCACCTTTTTTTTCATTCATATACGTTATTGTTTAGTATGTATGTTGTTACTTTACCCTTACTACGCTAATTGTCATAAATGAACTTGTCTGTGTTTCATCTCAGATAAAACCATTCATCATTTGTAGGGAAAGTTTTTTAAAATAAGCACTGAGATGATAGTGAACAGTGCAGACCATGATCAGACAACACAGATGAACTGGCTGATCTTGGTCTGCACTTGTCACATGGATAGAGTTTGATATGGCCAGCAATCTTAAGGTATATTGCATTTCATGAAAATAATAATTATGTTTTTGTAGATAGTTGTTTGGTTTCAACTGCTGTAGAGGACATGTTTTTTTGCCAAAATAATTCATCACCATTAATTTTTTTAATAGAATGAACAAATACATTTAGTTACATATATATAACTTGATAGGAAATTTTTTATCAAATCGATAAAAAATAAAACACTTAATAGCTGTAGGAATTGCTTACAATTTATATAATACACTAATAGTTCAAGTTCTACAATATTATCAAGGCTTCCGAGTGGGGACAAGAAGAGTGTGTTCTTCTGTAAAACCACAAATTAATACAAAGTTAAACAATAAGGCTCTGACATATTTTGTAAAATAACACAAATGGCAAAAAGAAACAAAAGGACATGGATTGAATTTTGTGTACATAAGCAAATAGCAAAGAAATCACAAAAAATAGTAAGATGTTGGGGTCATTTTGTAAATTAAGTATGACAAAAAACAAAACAGAAAGACATTGTAATTGCATAAAAAAATTGTTAATATACAAATGGCAAAATTAACATCAGGATATGGGTTAAAAACAATAAATACTGGTTATTTTTGATACTATAGAAATGGCTTTTTAAGATCATATCATCACCTTGTAGAGTAATGGGCTAACCACTTTTAAATTATATAGGAGTTAAACTGTTACTGCACTGAGGTGACAATATAAAACCACTGGATATTTATTATTTTGTAAAATTTCATGCACAAAATGGCAAATACTTCAAATAAGAAAATTGAATTTTCCTCATATTTTTTTGAGAAAACAAAAACAACAAAACTTCTTTGTACATAGTTATAAAATGTATATTTGCATCATATTGTAAAATATGTACATTTTAACAAAAACCAGTGATGTTATATGAAAGTTTTATGAAGATATTATATGATAATTATTATATTATATGAATGTATACATTATTTGTGCTTCTAACAACTGATAAAATACTGTGTTATGTAAGTTTAAACCTCGCTATGTTCATTCTTTAAATGTTGGTACATGTACATGTTTATTAACTATTTTCAAATTAATAATTTAAAACAAATGAATACAATCTTAATCTAAGCAGACTCCAGTTTTCATTGTATCCATCGCCATGTACATGTAGTTCGTTTTTTCCCTCGGTTCAACTTTGTAATGATAACACTTCATTTGGGGCGTTTTAACTGAGTGGTTAAGGTTGTTGACTTATATTCAAACCACCTGTCTGTGACCACTGAAAGTTTGAGCCTCGCAAGCATCTTTGCATTCTTTTATGTGAGAAAGCCATCCAGCTAGCTTACAAATGTTGGTGGTTCTATTGGATGCTTGTTTGTGCCTGAAATAACGCATTGAAGGGCTGCACCTAGTTATGACTAATCTGATATTTATGACTAAGTTGATATGACCATTTTACTGGCTTACTGAGATTACGTGGTTCTGTTTAAAGGGACTCCACTGAGGGTTTTTGACATGATGGGACAGAAAATATTTTTTCCAGATAAATGTACCATTTGATGTAGGTTTAGACCAATAATCTTTGTGCAAAATTTCAGATCATTCGCCCACTTCATTTTTCCAGTATAATTATTCAAATTGTAAAAAAATGACCCAAAATGAAAAGCATTTTTAATGCTTATCACTCAAATCAGGCTAAGAAAAGCATAAAAATACGATTTTCAATTTATTTCAAAGTATATATCTTAAATATCTTTGCATATATTTCTGTTTAAAGTGCCCAGCTCATTTATGTTAGAAATTCAAATGTTATGTTTTTAGGCTTTTAAACCTCAGTGGAGTGCCTTTAATATAAGACTGAGGAATTGATGTGCCTGCAGATGATTATAATTATGACTTCATCTGTAAGAATAGCACAGTGTGACAAACCTATCTCTGACATTTCTGTCAGTCATACCAATTTTGATAAAAATCTGAAAAGAAAATTCAGATACTAATTTTAGTTTACAACATCAATATTTGTTCTATATGTAAATTTTCTCTGATACTATCAGACAGTTTATTGGAAAAAAATATTTGCATCTTACGATAAACTTATTGACGTATCTATTCCAGTTTTTTGCCCAGAACAAAACACCTCTTTTACTGAAAATGGTAGACTCTTATATGAGAATATTATTCAATAGAACAAGTCTATATGGGATTCTGATATTGTAAGGAGAATCGTAGAAACGAAAATTGTCAAGCACTCGGAAGAAATAAACCCTGACTTTGATTTTTATTGGCTTAATATAGCATCATCTTGTTACATAACCATTGAAACTGCATAAAGATAAGAAAGTGGAAAGATATTCACAGTCTAGCTGCAACAGAGATATTTAGTTTCTACTGTTTGATTTTTATGTTTTCTGTAATGACTTTTATGATTGTTATTATTTTTGTGTGTGTGTGTGCATTATATAAAAATTTTATAAAAAGAAATTTAACTAAGCTAGAAATGTGCACATGTCCACAAGGATGCCAAAAACCATATGAGATTTTTACCTCCAAGTATGACCTTGACCTAACTGTTAAGCATGCCATCCAAGACATGTACCAAATGTTTTGACAGTACAATTCATAGAATAAGGAAATCGTAAGCCGAAAAGAGAAGAGTCGACAAACACGTTTCGACCTTTGTTCTCAAAGTGCAACCTTGACTATGACAGTTATAACTTACATCATTTGACTGTGGTGAAGACATGACTAGGTGCAAAATAATTCAACAATCCATCAAGTAATGGCAAATTGTATTTGACCTTTTACCTCCAAAAATGACCATGACCTTGAATGATGCAGACATAGGTCTTGTATTTGACTTATCATCTGAAATTTGTGAATACATTTGCATGCCAATTATAAATAATTTTTATAATCTATTAAGTACTTCAAGCTGAAAACCTAGGTCCTGCGCCCGACAAATTATCTCTATATGGTGGTCAAGTGTATCAGTTGTTTTTTTTAACTTCCATAATGCATGCAGAAGTATATAATGAAATGGACCAAAGACTATATGACAACTACAATAGGACAATCCATTTCTGTGACCTTGACCTTTGACCTTGATCTTACTCATGACACATCATCTTCTTTTGGTGATCAAAAGACCCGGTTTATTTTGAAAACCCATCATGCCAACATCTTACAGCACTTCAGGCTATATGAAAAATGCACTAAGTTCAATATCTGGCCCAATCATGCATGCAGAAAATTTTTCAAACACTTACTAACACACACAAGCATACGGGCATTAAATCCACTACCCCATTTTATGGCATGGGCCATTTCATGTTATAATTACCACTTATTTTTGTTCTCATTTTTTCTGGAGCATTATTTCCAAAATTAGCATGCCAGGCAAAAAAATCTCTCTCCTATGACATATATAACCCTATATTTCTCTATATTTTGGACATTTATGAAGATAAAGCATGCAATAGTATACATGAAGATGGATAGCACATTGTGTGACAGCGCCATCTGTCTTCCTTTATTATATAACCCTCTAAACCAGTCTGAATATAGACTGTGATGATTTTCCTTGTCTCGTCAACCTTATTGTTCTTGTCATTTCCATTTGTACGTAAGATAATGATTTTTGCTATTCATTTATCATATATATGCTATAATGTATAATAAAATGTTGTTGCAATCATCTAGGATTCTTTCCATGATTTTTAGCCCTTTTTAAAAACCCCTGAATTTGTGGAATGGATTTGTCCTGCATATAATTTGGAACAGAACAAACAATGATAAAGGGATTTCGATATCAAAATACAAAATTTCAGCTACAAACAGTATAGAGCCTTGTCAGGCTGCATGGATGTGTCTAAAAACATAAACTTTGAATTTCTTAAATACTGGTAGATCATCTCAAGAGCTTGTCACAAGTCTATTCTAATTTGTATTTTGAAAAATTTACAGGAAATGGAAAAAATGGTATGTCATTTTATTGTGATTTTATTTTTTGGAAAAGTATTCGCAACCATTTTTTTGTTACCTTAAGAAAAAATGAAAATAAATTGTGTACATGTTTTTTTTTCAAGAAATGTGTAAAATATGCATTTTATTGCCTACTTGTTAACATAGCCTAGTATTGCACTAGAAAAGCCACTTTTCTAAATTATCTATTTGCAAACTATTCTGTCTCGTCAGTTAGAATACTTTATCACTAGAAAATATGTCCTTTTGATTCCCAAATCTTGTGCAAAACTATTCTGAGCAAGTTAAAACAGAAAGATATGCAAATGATGATTTGAAAATATACTCTGAAATAATTTAGTTGATTTTTTTTTTTTCAATAATGTGTTATTCTTTATCCAATTTCGGTGAAAAGCATTGCAACACTTTTCAATTTTGGGTCATTTCACAATTAGAATAGCTATTCTGGAAAACATGCTCACAGGTGTGAACATGTATTACATTCTCACAGGTGTGATGGTGTTACACATTATCACATGGTGCGACTGTATATTATACATTCTGTCAAGCACAAAATATGAGATGAGGACGCTCTTCGTCACTATTCACAATTTTTTCCCGTAAAAGTATCACAGCGTTTCCATGTATAGTAACAATTATTAACTTTCCCATTTATACTGATCACAGTGCTAGACGTTTCTGATATTTATTGTTCACAAAATAGATTTTTCCCCGTTTATTACATGGACTTGGCCCTATTCTACAGACCTCTTTACGACTTTTATATAATTGTGATCCTAAAAAGTACACAGCTATTAAGCACAATTTGCATATTTTTCGAGAAGAAAATCATGAATATTCGGTGTTTTTGATACAAAAAGGCTGGAAATTTGTGTGATTTTTTATTTTTCAATCCCCATATATATTTTGTATAAGACGTTCCTTAGCTTGCCTAAGTTTTCAGTATCTTTGATACAAAAAGATTCAAGACGGGTCAAAGAAATTTGTGTGATTATTTTTTCAATCCCCATAATAATATACCATCAATATAAGATGATTTTCTACATAAGTTTTGTAAGTTTAATCAAATTAGTCCTGACATGCATCAAAAATAGCATCATATAATTCAAAGATAGAAATAAGAAGGCTTAATGATCCATTGCAGAACATGTAATGATAACAAATTTTGTACAATAAGAAATAATATTATATTAATGATTTCTGAAGTTAAGTACTTTGCTTTATCATCCCTCATTAAATGCAAACTTTGTATTTTTGATTTTAAGAAAAAATATCACAACAATATGGTATTCAAAAAAATATGCCATTTTTGTATTTTCTGATCGCAAGATCAGTAAATACATAGCTAACATCCACGGTCTAACACAAAATTTCCTCACAGACCTAACAATGCAAAGTAAGTTCTCACTCAAAACTGCTTAAAAACCAGCAATTTAAAAGAAAGAATAATTTTTAATGTAGGCATTAAACGAATTACAGTGCATTTAAAGTTTACATTAGTCAATAGAAATATAAGGTTACAATCACAAATTTCGCGGATGAATATCTTTTTTACCCAATGAAAAATGGTCGACTATTTCCGTAAAGCTTAATCAATGAAAATGCTATTTTTAGCTAAGTCGATTACCGAATACTCCAGAGCGTAGTACACAAAAAATCTGACTGTTGAGTAATGGAATATATACATGTCAAGACTGTTTTGGCGAGAAGATTTTCGCTAAATTATTTTCATCAGTGTTTAACAACAGATTTATCGTGAACAAAATACCTCGAAATTAAATAGGATTACAAATACGAAATGAAAATTCTCAATAATTTTAGAATTACAATATATTTGTTTTTATTCATGCTACATACGTATTACTTCACTGTGGTGCATAGGTAGCGCGCTCGTTTAGGGTGTGAGAGGCCTAATGTTAAAATCCGTGTTGAGGCAACACTTTTTTTGAAGTGTCTTTTTTAAGGAAGTAGCCACGATATGCAAGGATAAAGTGTGGCTGTAATAAAAAATGAAAAATGATTTTTGATGCTTCTTAGGCATGCAAAATTCCATATGTATCAATCACAAACTGTTAAACGCAGTCGCTGCGTAAGATGAATAATAGTATATAAAAATAAACTTATACAGAAAAAAGATCAGAAAATACCACAGAGCATGCAGCCCTTTGATTAGGATTTGCACAATTCTTCATCCTTACAGACACATCTCATCGGTGACCATTAAGACAAGAGGCATGGCTCTTTGTTTACATATATTGACGAACATCAGATATCAAGGCACCAAAGCTCCAAGCAGATCCACTTTGTATGCCAGACATCATAGCACCAAACAATGCACCATCATATTCATCTTTTTGGTGACATTTACATTTTATATCTTTTGTTAAAAGTTTTTATTCTTATTTTTTATCTGTCTTGACTGTGCTAATTTTTTTTTTCTGTGTTCATATTTCAAATTTTTTTAGCAAAATTCATTTGTATATGATAAATATTACTTCAAGGTTTTATAGAAATAATTCTTTTCTGCATTTCTTTATACTTATTTATAAATGAGACAGAGTTTGTTGTGTATTTTTTAATTAAAAAATCTGTGCTAAATTAAAAACAGATCAAACTTTTCCTGACAAAAATTTTAATATGGAATTACTTTTATTGCAATTAAATTTTTTTAAATAGTGCCAAAATATTCTAATTATTGATGATTCAGTCACATATTTCAAATCATTTTAAATATACACAGCAAGTTATTATATCATCGCACACAAGGGGCGTCCATGGCCAAGTGGTTAAGGTGACTTCAAACCACTTGCCCCTCACCACAGTGGGTTCGAATCCCAACAGGGACTTTGGATTCTTTCATTTGAGGAAGCTATACAGCTAGCTTGGGGCACATCAGTGGTTCTACTCAGGTGCAACAATGCTTGGAAGGGCACCTCAGGTTTTCCTCCACCAGTAAAGCTGAAATGTTGCAATATGACCTACAATGCGTTGGTGTGATGTAAAACACAATCAAACAAACCACGATTCATCACACACAATGATGATCACAAATTCAACCCTGCAAATCTGTTTTGAATAAATTAAATAAAACAATAACCTACAACTTTACATATTTTTATTCAACTATTTAATATTTGTACTAAATACAAACAAGAGATTTAAAATTGTCAACACATGATAAAATATTCTCCTAAACCAGATCAGAAAAAAAGAAGAAAATGAACAAACATAATACATTTTAACTTACACATGTATCAAATTATGCAGAATATATTTCTGACAAAAATTAGATGAGATAAAATGGCATGACTAGGTAGGTATATTCGAAAATGATGCAGCCCATTTATAGCTGCTATAAACTCCCAACCATCAATTTACTTTGTGCTTATTACAGTGACACCCCAGCCCACAATTTACTTTGTGCTCATTACAAATCCCAATTCTGCTCATTACAAACTCCCTTGATTTACTTAAAGAAGATGCCCATCACAAACAATTACTGTTCCTCTCATTACGATCTGATTAAATATTAAGTAAAACATACAATCTGAACTTCAGTCAGACTGTGCTCATTACAACCTTCAGCCCACTATTTATTTTATGCTCATCACAAAGCCCCAGCCCACAATCTATTTAATGCTCATTTGAAAATTTACTTTAGACTAATTGAGCCGCGCCACGACAAAACCAATATAATGGGTTTGCGAAAAGCATGGATCCAGACCAGCCTGCGCATCCGCGCAGTCTGATCAGGATCCATGCTGTTCGCTTACAAACCCTATAACAAGTAGAGAAACTGAAAGCGAACAGCATGGATCCTGATCAGACTGCTCGGATGCGCAGGCTGGTCTGGATCCATGCTGGTTGCAAACCTATTATGTTTGTTTTGTCATGACGCTGCTCAATTTCATACCCCTAATTTTTTTCATGCTCATGCATTTTTTGCTTAAACAATAAATTCGTTTAATATTAAGTAGGCCATGCAATTTAATCTATAACAATTGGGCAAATAGCGAAAACATCATCAAACATGCCAATAATGAAATGTGAACAGAAAACACTTTTATCTTTTAACACATATTCAAATATAGAACTAGTAAAGTAACTTTAATAAACACAAGTTTAATTTACATAACCATAATTATCTTCTCTTTTTTTTTCATACCTAGGAATGTTTGTTATGAAATCAAATATTGCAAAATTTAAACACTGAATTTATACATATATCAATTTAGTAAAGTTTACAGTCATATTTGCCAACATTGTCATGTTTTCCTTAAAACATAAATTACTGTTACTATAGAAACAAAACAACAAACAGTAAATAAATTCTTATTTAATGCATATATCTGATAAAAATTATATCTCATAAAAATTATCAAAAGGATGCTATATTTTTCATATACATGGTATGTCACATCACAACAGGGCTTTAACAGCATGGCATATTTCATATATTGCACTCCTGCACACATTATTAAACCCTTATCCAGCTTAATTTCTAAAATGGACTTGCTCAGTTTCCATTTTTTAGGACTGTCCATTATCATTTTTGGGGAAAACAAGATAGAAATTCAGATATTCAGCCAACAGTATAGAGCCTGGTCCAACTTCACCAAGGTTCAGGTTGGCCTGGCTGTATACTAACAGCAAAGGCTATCTTTCGGTTTCAGCTGAGAAAGGGTTAGTGTGCTAAAAATAACATTAACATTAGCTGCAGCTGGGGTTTGTAGGAAATATTCAATTTTTGTTATTTTAGCAAAATAAACAGTTTAGCTTCATCCAAAACTTTAAAAAATACACATAAATCAACATCCCAAAAAGTGTCTTATAACACCAAAACCAAAATTGGTAATGTATAAAATACAAGATACTACATGTATATGAAATGATACAACAAAATAAGTTAAATAACATTTGATACATGGCATAAACTAAATGTTATGCTATGATTCCTTTAACTTTTCAAATTCTCATTCCCCTTCTTAGCAGGCTGTTGCCTCTAACCAGATTTCCTTCAGTTTTTAAAAAAATCTTGGTCAAGCTTTTCCTTCATTTTCTAGTAACATTATTTATTATCTAACATTTCCTAATCTTAGCTTTATTACAGTCCTTTTAAAACCATATCTAAGTCGGAGTTTCCTTACTGGTTCTCCTTAATCTTAAACCATTCTGGTTCTTCATCGTAAATCACCTTACTTTTCCTTAAGAATAAACCAATCTGTTAGTTTTCACTTAATTTTATAAAAAGTCTAGCTTTTAAACTTAAATTAGTCTTAATTTTTAGTTCTAACTTTAGACCATTTTATTACTCCTTCACCACAAACCAGTCTAGCTCTCCTTAACCACAAACCAATCTAATTCTCCTTATTTTGTCAACCAGTCTTATTTTCAAAATCTTAAACCAGTCTGGTTTTACTTTATTGTGCACCAGTCTGATTCTTCTAAATTCAAACAAGTCTGGCTCTCTTTTGTTTTAAACCAATCTGGTTCTTCTTAACTGTAAATGACAACCTACTCTAGGTTATCAATTCTTGATTATATGATGAAATTCATTATGAGTTCTTCTATAAACATTAAATGAAATTAATGACAGCTGTAAGAAATATAATATATTATGAGACAATAAACAAGTTTTGAGGGAAAAACACCAAAATCAAAATTGTATGTTTATAAAAAAAACCAAAAAACAATGTCCCTAGCTCTTGATACATCAGTCTATAAAATGATTTCTAATGACAGATATATCTATACTCCTTTCTCTTCACATTCAAACTCTCACAACCTTAAGGACGTCTGTTAATTTCATTTACAAACTGAGCGCAGCGAAATAAAAAATTATCCCATAAATGTTTCATGAAAAGCTCGGAAGATTTACAAATATCAATAGCTATGTTACTATTTATAGAACATCCTCTTCAATTTCAGATTGAAATTTGACCCAAAAATAGTATGTAAAATACATGATTTCATCAAGTAACATTCAATTTCATAAAGAAAAAAAAACACAATTGAATAGAGACTTCTTATTTAAATAATTAACTTTTTACAGAAAAATATGTTTTAATGTAATACAGCTCATTAATAAAATTTCAAATTAAATAAAATACTTTCATTTTATTTTTTTATTTTAAAAGAAAATTAGCCTAGTTACCTAATGATTACTGTACATGTTGGTTCAAAGAAGCAAGTGATTGTTTCCTAATTTGAAAAAAAAACTTTACACTGTCATTTAGCTTAGTACTGATTGGTAGCAACGGATTCCCGAGTCTTTCTTTAATTTAAGCTTATATAAGCTTCCAATATAATCAAAGTAAAATAAATTCAATATAATCTAATACAATTTATACATTGATTTCAAGAGTAGAAAACATGTATTTACCTCATTATATGTCTATATCAATAATGAAATAAGCATCACTTTATCCAGGACTTAGTAAAATAAAAGTCTTGTCCAGATACCTTAACCAAACATAAATGGTATTTTACATGAAGCTGGAATGAGGGTGAAGCTGAACATTTTTTAATGTTATTCAAACTAATCAGTTACAAATGTATTATAAATTAACATATCAATGATTTTTCATCTTATTTAACAAAGAACTAATGATAAAAGGTCTCTTCTCAACAGAAACTCTTTAAATCATGCAGTTTTCCCAAAACTCTAAACTAATACACCAGCTTGTTTTTGCTCTCCAAATTAGCATTTTTTTTCAAGATATAATTCTTCCCACAATCAAGAGGCTAAAGCCTATTCCCAATTGAGTGAAAAAAACACTGCATATCGGTACATAATTTAAATATTTTGATAAATTGAATAGTAGAAAGCCGATATTTTTCAGTAGTCCTCTCCCCACTGTTTTGAATATACAATGAAAGTTCGTACATTTCTTAAAAAGATCAGTATGATTGCTACAGTTTTCATATGAGCCACGTCACGACAAAACCAACATAATGGGTTTGCGACCAGCATGGATCCAGACGAGCCTGCACATCCACGCAGTCTGATCAGGATCCATGCTGTTCGCTATCAGTTTCTCTACTTGCTATAGGGTTTGTAAGCGAACAGCATGGATCCTCATAAGACTGTGCGGATGCGCAGGCTCGTCTGGATCCATGCTGGTCGCAAACCCATTATGTTGGTTTTGTCGTGATGCGGCACAATTATAGACTGAAATAATATGATTCATAGTATTTACTTTTTTAACATATGCTAATTAACAAACATTTTTAGCAAAAAAAAAAAGGAAGGAGATGATTTTATTGAGTTATTATTTTACCCTTGAATTTATTTGATCTGTTTACTTATTTAAGGTAAGTTCCTAAGAAACAATTTTTATTCTACCTATATGACTATTTGAAAATTGTAGCACATGGCCTTGCGATCATAATAATATGATTTTCATATGATATCTGAGATTTTCAAAAACTTCTTTTTTTTATATTAATGAATAAAATATTCTTTGTCATATAAATGAAAAATGCAATAAATTTGTGACTTGAAATAACTCAAAATAAATGGATTATAATATTTTCAATAAATTATTTAAATATGTCAATTTCTGAAAACCTGACGAAGAAAAAATCTGTCTTACACAATATTTCACTTAAGTTATGTATGGTACAACAAAATTTTCCCACGATTCTAGTGAAACCCAAACAATAGCTTTACACCCTTTCAAAGAAATTTGTGATTATTTCTGGAACTGCAGTCCCTCCAGAGATGACCTTTGATACACAGATATATAATGCAGCCTCTGTATAAAGACCCCCTGTACAGCAATAACCTCTTTAGAACAAGAGTATCATGTCTTTCAAAAGGAACAATTCACAATGAATATTACCTCTCGAAAGCAACACCTCTCTATAACAACCACATTCTTTGTCATTCCAAAGGGTGTGGCTGAGCAGAGATTGCACTGTACACTAATAGTATATATTAAGATAAAGGTACGGCTTTGATGAAAACTTCCAAAATCGAAAATGTTGAAGAAAACTTACAACAGTAAATTGCAAAAACGCCTCAATTTCTACATTTTTCTCAACACATGTGCCATCAAAAATGTTTGGTTCCCGTCAGAAATAAAAAATCAGCATACATAATGGTCATTTGCATTGGATCGACTAAATTAAAGACCAAAACAAAAGTTTCCTGCGTTCATGCATAGTGAAAAACAACATTAAAATAAGATTGAAGATTAAAATGACTAAACACCAGTAAATCCATGAACATCTTCCGTAACATACAATATGGTATTGCATTAATATTCACAAAATTCATTGCAGCAATTTTTCCAACATAGATTATCTATATGAACATCATATTTTCACAAAATGCACATGTTTTTTTCACGTTTTACGTTCCGGACATCTTGTTTGAACGATGCCGCCCTGTTCTCTATAACCCTCTGGGTCTTCGCAGATGTGGACAACAATGCCGGGCTGGTCTTTAGATGGTGGGTGTATTTCATGGGCTTCTCCTGAAAATACATAGAAATAAATTTAAATTTAATTTCCCAATGTATTAAAGTACTATCTACTATAATGAGTATTCATAAAGATAACTGTGTCTGAAAGTAAAGACATATATCCAATCTCCTAATTAACGCTACACATAAGCATCTGACAGGAAACAATAGGAGGCCACCTTCTTGTAACTTTTCAAACAGCAAATCATTGGTAAGCTTTCACAATTTTGAAAGTGATGCGGTTTCTAATTTTAAGTGCTGAAAAACAAATACTTAGGTAGTTTTTGCAATTTTTCACAATCTTGTTTTGTCCAAGCCTAAATCAAATCGGTACATAAATAACAAAATTATTACAATTTAAAAAAAATTCTATAATTTGCCTTCACAATCAAGGTTAAGGTCATAAATGAGCCAAGGTCAATTTCAGTTTGATATACATAAAGATCTTATCCTAAGGAATGTTGTGTCTAAACATGAAGACAATCCATTCATTAATAACAAAGTTACAGAAAAAAGAAGAAAATTTCATTAATTTGACCTTCAAGGTTTGTCTGGTTAACTTGAAGGCCTACCCTAAAAAATTATTATGCTCAAGTTTGAAAACAATCCATTTCAAAATAACAAAGTTATAGCCACTATTAGCAAAAATCTGCAAAAATCTAGCAAAATTTAGACACTTGACTTTGAAGGTCAAGGTCATTTATGAATGAAAGTCAAGTTTAGTCTGGCTACTTGAAGCTCTTGTTCCAAGGGTTGTTGTGGCCAAGTTTGAAGACAATACACCAAGAAAAAACTATGATCAGCGCTTAAGTTCGGCGGATAGCAGAATGGTATATTAAGCGCGCCACCATGACTAACAATACATGTACTCCTATTTTTGTTCTTTGAAAAAAAAATCGAGCTAATAAAAGACTCTAAAGTCAACACAAATGATTTTTAGAGACATCAAACAAATATACAAAAGAATGCTACGTAAATGTATAAAGATGAACTCTAAATAAAACATTAGACACAATAGGCTAAATTTCAGATCCTTTTGGACAACCTACGCAAGATAATAGATGAACAATATACAATGAATACCAATTTTTTCTCTCCTTTTTTTAGTCTTATCAAATTACAAATCATACATATTTGATAACGTTCAACCTCTGCTCCCGTCATACAGAACGTAAGCGTAATGAATTCCTACAAAAGATTTTTATTTCAAGAAAGCTGTTTGAAATTCATGACACTTGCCCTTTCATTCTCTATTGTCATTTATAGGTCCATTTATATTTCCCTCTAGACAGAAGGTCTTGGTAATAAAAAGTAAATTACTAAATGTCATCAATAAAGAAGCCTAAGCAAGCCTAATTGAAAACAATTAATACCTCCTGTTTATTGTTTTACACACGATCAATTACGGGTGGATAAACAGCCTGATAGCACAAGTAAGTGGTTTCAATAAACTATGATTACCCAGGCAATAATAATGTGAGATGGAGACAAATAGGAGTTGGTCAACAACAATAACAAGAGACAATAACACAACAGAGCTGTTCGGGTATTAATTAAACTCAACTACACACACAAGACCTTCCACAGATGCCAGACATAAGCCTGACAGGTCTGTGAAAAACAACAACCCCCCCCCCCCCCCCCCGGTCATCCTTGCAAATTGAAAATCAATGATAAATGGGTGTGATAATGAATTGTCAGTCAAATCGCACATTGCAAAAATGATGCTTTAAATTCTACTGCAGGGAGTAATTTCCAACAATAAAGGAATGACAAAAAAACGTGCAAATAATTTGTCAGGCCTTATCATCATCAATGACAAAGGCTTAAATTCACATATTTGCAGATAATCTCTCAAAGAAGCTTTCGCCTCCTATTTGACATTTACTTAAGCTGTTTATTTTTTCTTAAAACAGGGAAAAATTTTCATGGCAAAGCATCGTTAACTTATTTATATAAACACCATTTTTCTGTGTTATTAAAACAATGAAACGCATCGAAAATAACTTTGTATCTATATATAGAAACAATTTGATGAAAATGTTTTGCTGCAATAAAATCATCATATCCGAGATGGGGTAAAGAACTCGCACTATGAGTTGGCTTTCAATGTCAATATTTTTCTATCGGGGCACTTCCCGAGCGTGTATTGACGTCAGCGTAGTGAAAGAACAACATTTAATTAAGTTTAGACAAGTGTTACTATCAATCACTAAAGTAGTTCTATTTCTAGAAATCTTCTTACCGAATGAAAAAAATAACAAAAAAAAACAAAAAAAAACAACAATAAAATATTTTACTTTACACCGCTTAGGCACATTATGACTTAGTCATGAATAAACTTTACATTCCTTTTAATAAAAAGGCCAAACATTAGTTTGATAATGTTTCAACAAAGACTTCAGAGCATGTTAGATGCTTATCACCTTACGAAAGTAGCACTGAATGTAAAATTATTTGTCATAAAAGTAGTAAAATGTAGTAGTATTTTGACTTCCATACAAAATACTAAATCACTATAAATGTTTAGCAGCAGAAGCATAAAATGGTTCAGGTAATTTGCCAATGTCAGTAACTTTTTGGAAGTTGCAACACTGGCTTCAAAAATGAAATGCTTTTGAGAAATAAAATCATTTTTGGGAAAATGTGGGTCTTTATGTTGCATTGGTATTCAAGCAAATAACCTAAAAATGAAAAGCATTACAACGCTTTTCACTCAAATCTGAAAATAATCACACAAAAATTGATTTTCAATTTAATTCTTTATATTCTTTGCAGAGTTTTTCATTTTAAGAATTTCACATGATATATGTAAGATTTTTCAAGTTTTATGTTTTTAGGAATTTGAACCTCAGTGATGTTCCTTTAATAGGCGGTTACTCAAATCACTGCACACCCTGCATGATTACAGCTGACAGATTTTATTAGCTAATTAATCCCATTAAATGGATATTATTAATAAATCAGGTCTTTTGGGGACTACTTTATAATATCAACTCAATTCATTAAATAATTCATTTAATCATCATAATGGATTTGGGCACCTACATTTAGTTTGATATAAGAAAATTCAGCATTACTTTGCATAAAATCACAAACATACAAATTGTCAGAACAGATCATGCTTTACTTGAGAATTTCACATAGCAATTAAACTGGTATATACAGATATGGCGTATGATTTTTCAAGTATTTACACTTCGCAGCACATACACACACACACAGCACTGCCATCCTAAAAAGTTCTTTAAAATAACACCAATATCATAGTAATACTAAAGTAACATTGAAGGAAGATTTCACTGTAGTCATCCATTAACCATTAATCAGTGTTAAGTTACCTTCAGTCAAGGCAATAAATTATTAGTTTCAATTAATAGCATATTATGGTAATCAAACATCATTTTTAGTTGCAGTACAACATCAAGGCAATTATCAGAGCAATTGTATTGCATAAAGGCAATTAAGCATCATTTCTAGTTTCAGTACAGCATCAAGGCAATTAATCATCAGTTTAAGGCAACTGCATTGCAGTAAGGCAATTTAAGCATCACTTTCAATTGCAGTGCAGCATCAAGACAATTAATTATCAGTTTAAAGCTGCAGTATTGAATTAAGGCAATTTAAGCATCACTTTTAATTGCAGAACAACATCAAGACAATTAATTATAAGTTTAAAGAAATTGTACTGCATAAAGGCAATTAAGCATCATTTGAGTTGCAGGACAGCATTGAGGCAATTAATTATCTGATTCAGTTTAAAGCAATTAAGCATAATCTTTAGTTACAGTACAACATGATGGCAATTAATTATCAGTTTAAAGCAATTGTACTGCATAAAGGCTGCAAATTAAGCTTCACAGCAATTATTATCAGTAATTTAAAGAAATAATGTGCTGCATAAAGGCAATTCAACTGCAAATACAACAACAAGGCAATTATCATTTTAATGCAATCAAGTTCTAACTACCATTTCCAAGTTACATGCATGGAAAGGCACTAAAAGCAATTAGAAGTCATTTTGGATCTAACAATATGTCATAATTTCTTACAGATACATATCATCAACAACATACAATTAATTAAATAATAGTCATTTTGTAGTAGCTGTGTTGCATTATTAGATAGTAATTAAGATGATATCCTTTATTACCATATAATATATCATCAAGACGAATGCCAGCAAATCAGCAACTGCATAGCAACAAGGAACTTGATAATTTCTGTGTTTAGAGGCATTATATAGCATCAATGCATTTGATTGATACTGTGCATGCAAAATTACCGATTACAACAATCATTTCAATTTTACTTTACTGCAGCGAAACCAACTTAATTATAGCCAGCATTATTTAGACATGACAACAGCAGAGCAAAAATGCTTGTGTATGTGTGCATTTCTTTTTTTCTTAAAGGCCCATTATGCCTCACAAATGCTTTTATTTTTATTTCTCAAAAGCTTTTTAATTTTGGTGTAGTTTTATAGTGTCCATAAAAGGTTACTCATTGGCCAACAACGTTAAACCATCTTTTTCATCTGTTGCTTTTCTGCAATAAGAACAGTTATAGTGAATAAGTATTTTGTTTGGAAGTCAAAATACAGTAAACTTCACTTAAAGCGAACACGGTTATAGCGAACTTCCGGTTATAGGGAACAATTTATTTTGGCCCGAATTTTGGCCTTCTTTATTTAATATAACTAGAAATGTGTCATCATGCCACGGATGCCCCCGCATGCAGCCAAAATTTCAGATGGTGCATTAATTTTTTTTTTCATTTTAAGTTAAGTTTGTCTAAAATCATTGAACCACAACCAAATTCAAACTTAAACTGCTTATTCCTAAGATGTATCTATATTATTTTCAAAGTGAAAGGGACATAACTCTGCCAAAAAATCATCAAACCATGACCAAATTCCAACTTGACCTGCCCATTCCTTTGACATATCTATATGTCAAATTTAAGTTGAATATGTAACACTGTTGGGTAGAAATGAACAGAAACTGTAAATT